CTGAGAATGTGATTGGCGTATGGACCCACTACCCACAAGAGTGCCTGTGTCTCAGCTTCTGTGCACAATTTCCAGGGCATGACATGCTCCCAGGCATTCTTCAATCTCCTTGTCCTTGCTGAGAGCCCGCACCTGTGCCGGATACTCTATGTCCAGCCTTGCTGCCGCTGTGGGGCACGGCCATGTGCCCCAACCCCTAGGCAATGAGATTAGGCTATTGGGAACAATGGAGAAAAGTTTTTCTCTCTGGTAAAAGGATGAGGGGGTAACTCCTGACTCTGGATGGTGGTGCTAGGTGTCCATTTGCCATCTTGCAACCAAGAAAAGAAAATCAAGAGAAACACAGAGAAGCAGTATTAACCAATACTGCAAACATCCAATTTTTGTTATTTATTTATTTATTTTTTGAGACGGAGTTTCGCTCGTTACCCAGGCTGGAGTGCAATGGCGCAATCTCAGCTCACCGCAACCTCCGCCTCCTGGGTTCAGGCAATTCTCCTGCCTCAGCCCCCTGAGTAGCTGGGACTACAGGCACGCGCCGCCATGCCCAGCTAATTTTTTGTATTTTTAGTAGAGATGGGGTTTCACCACGTTGACCAGGATGGTCTTGATCTCTCGACCTCCTGATCCACCCGCCTCGGCCTCCCAAAGTGCTGGAATTACAGGCTTGAGCCACCGCGCCCGGCTCTGCTGGGACCTCTTACCTCTCAGCCTGTTTCCACATCTGCCTACTTCACATTAGGTTGTCACGAGGAAAATGCCAAAGTAGGTTCTTGCTGGCATCTGGTTAATTTCTTCCTGACCACAATCATTCCACAGCATGAAGATGCAGCCTACCACCTCTAAGTGGTTCAAGGAGGCTGAGTTGGCTGCTGTCTTCTTTCACTTTGGCCAGGAGAGCAGTGAGAGCAAAGTGCACCCAGGTACTGAGGCCCTGCCACCGGTCTATTATCAGGGGGAAGAGGCAGGAGCTGGTGCCACCATCTGCTTCTCACCACCCTCCACCAACACCCTGCTGGCCTGACTGCCTGCCGGCTCCATAGCTTGGGTTCTTGCTGGTTCACAGAAACAAAATCCTTTAAAATTGTATTTCTGGAATCTTGTAAAGTGCTAGGCAGACGCAGAGATCACAACTCAAAGCTTTGTTATTGGCTCTAAACCAAAGTTGCCTCTCAACCAAAGTTGCACACTGTCTTATTCAAATCTAAAAAGCCCAGTCTGGTCCCTGGGTGAGTACCACATGGCTAAAATTAGCCTGGCCATCTGCTGAGACAGCAGCTGGGCTATTCTGAGCCCTAGCAGGCCTGCCTGAAGTGGGGCTGGGCCTGGGGGTAAGTGCTGGAGAGGCTGGACACAGGGAGGGACATGGAGGATGAGGCCACACTGAGGGGGAAGGCCAGTGTCACGGCGGTTTCACAGGATACAAAAAGCGCAGGATGGTTTCTGTGTCCTGTTCTCTAGTTTCTCCTCTTACCTGGAGCTTCCTTTTTTGGATTCAGACTCGAGCAAAATCATTCTTTGGGATTTTAGCAATAATAGCTAAGCTTTATGGAGTACTCATTATAGGTCAGGAACCACACGAGGTACTTTACAGGAATCAGCGCACACACTCCCAAGACAACTCTTTGAGATCTGGGGGATTCAGAATGGCTTGACTGTTCCTTTTACAGAGTTCATGAGAAAAAGGTTTGGTTGAAAGCACCACATGAGCGAGCCCTGGCTCAGACAACCCCAAGAATACATGGATTCCCTCCTGCAGGCCCTTACCTCTGCCTTCCTTCATCTCTGGAAAGGACCGAAAGCATCCTCAGAATCTGGAATCCATTGAACTAAAGGGTAAGACCCTTAGGGGTATAAATGTGACCGAGACATTTATAGGTGCCCTGTAACTAAGAACTTGAGTGTATGTATAGCCATTGTGAAACCCTACACTCAGGTTGGACTTGCTCTGTGGCTTAAAACTGCAGTGTCTCCACTGGGTGGACTGGCTCATGCCTGTAATCCCAGCACTTTGAGAGGCCAAGGCAGGCGATTCACTTGAGGCCAGGAGTTTGAGACCAGCCTGGCCAACATGGTGAAACCCCGTCTCTACTAAAAATACAAAAATTAGCTGGGTGTGGTGGTACGGGCTTGTAATACCAGCTACTTGGGAGGCTGAGGTGGGAGAATCCCTTGACCCTGGGAGGTGGAGGTCGCAGTGAACTGAGATTGTGCCACTGCACTCCAACCTGGCCTGGGTGACAGAGTAAGACTCTGTCTTAAAACAAAAAACAAAAAACAAACAAACAAACAAACAACCCAACCAACCAACCAAAAAACCCAAAAACCTCATGTCTCTGCCCCCCCGCTAGCTGGGTGCTTTGATCTTTATAATTGGTCATGAAGCCACAGCTGACATCTGTGACTTTCCTTCTAGTATCCATTCCTTATTTCATTTGCCCTCAGCCAGAACCTCAGTTGATTAAAGTGACCCAAGGCTTCATTCCTGAAGGATCTGAATTTTCCATAGTGCTGGCACTTTTTGGAGTTACAGCATTTTTGGTTGCGGGACTTCCCCTTGCCTTTACCACTGGACATGGCAGCACTCGGCCCTCCTGAGACTCTCCTGGGCTCTGGATGAGGTCCTGCTCACCTCCCGGTGCAGCATCCCATTTTCTCCTTGCTAATCAGGATCAGGCACTCCTACCAGCAGGGCCACTCCCCTCCTCTGCGCATTAATTCAGTGGTACAAGGAGCCCCAAATAGCCAAGTGGTAGCCTCATCTACCAATTTGATTGTGAACCCTAGAGGCATGTCTTAGGGACTAAGACCTCCAAACACAAGCCCTGTGAGTGGGGTATCCGGTGTGGTAACAGCAAGAGGAACTACTTCCACCTCACCCACTGGTTCCCAGACCCATGCGCTTTGGCTGCGGGGTAGACACCGAGTCGGCCTGATTTAAAGCCTCTACTGCATCCTGTAAGATCAAAGCCCATCCCTTCAGGACGCTGTCTCACAACTGGCAACATTGAGAGTCATTCTACTCTTCATTTAGGTCATTTCTGGGTGGTGGGGCATGTGGCAAAACCAGTTAATTCATGAGTCCAAGCCTGATGCTGAACTCTGCTGTACAATGAGGTCAATGATCAGAAACAAAGCTGTACGGAATGGCACAGTGGTGGGTGGCACCGAGTCCACATGGCCCACAGGACACACACCAGCTGTCCCTATTACCAACACTGTTCCCTAGGCCAGTGGGCAACATTTTTCACAGAAGGGTCAATTCACTGGGGAAGATGTTGACAGGCTGCATTTTCTTTACCTTTGAAGTCTCCAAAATAAACCTCCTTAGAGCCTAGATGACCTACTCTGGAGAACAGTAAAATGAGAAAACACTGACCTCTTAAGCCACATAAATGGGCATATTTGGCACATGCCAGTGGGAAGCTGCTGTCTAACCTTCCATGCTGAGACTGAACAGCAGAAGCGAGTGGGCAGTGGGGTGCTGCTAAGCACTGTACCAGACCTCCTGAAACCCTACTGGCCCCAAATGAGACTCAATTTGGAAGACCTGGCCTGAAGAAATGGTGAAACACTATGCCTTAAAAAAGCAACTGCCAGTCTTTGAGGAGGCAAAACACAGGATTTAAGGGAAAGGAAATGACACCACTTTGGGAAATGTGAAATCCTAAAGCACCTGGGTATACTAGAGTGTAATAAAACCAGCCCAACAGGTCAGAGGTGAATGATTCCCGACTTCAGATCTTCACAGTGAGAAGACTTAGGTTTTTGAAGGTCAAAGGACAATGCACCTTCTAGGCTTTTAGTTAAAGTTTCAGTACATACTATGCACCCATCAGTGTCAAGGCCACTATTAGATTTCATTCCTAAAAGAGGTACTTGGGTTTGCCCTAAGGCAAAGTTCCAGGCAAATTAATTCTATAGCAGCTTCGCCTTGGCACTCTGGGACACGGAAGGAATGGCTCTCCACCTCCTGTGTAGCAAGAGATAACCAATGATGCAGAATCCATTGGCTGAAGCATTACTATGTACATAGTGGATATTTTATAGATGGATGCATGCACCGCCGTGTGGAAGAGAGTGGTCTGAAATGTGAGCCCAGGACTGCCTTGGGCAACTATTGGTGGCCCAGGGCACTTCCAGAAGAGGCAGGAGGAGGGCAACTCGCCAGGAGAGGCAGAGGGCAGTGCCTCTCTCTTCCCTCATGGAGCACCCTGAGTTTCTATGCAAGGTTGGTTTTAATTTTTAAATTCTCACATTTTAGCTGCTTCCCTGAGATAGGACTTGAATTTTTTTAAAGCCGGGAGAGAAAAGCAAAGAGAGAATGTGAATACTAAAACATAAAATGCTAGTTTCCCTCTTTTGAAAAGAAAATAGATTGAGAAATGTGAATCTTCCTTAGGGAACGCATTAAGTAATCACTCCAACCTAAAAATACTTTGTTTAATCAGGTACTGTGAGGATAATTGCCTTTCTCTGTGCTGATAAAAAAGGTAAAGTGTGCAGAATACTCAGGAGCCCAGGAGCCAAAGAGACTGGATTGCTGGCTAATCAGGAGAGAGGGTCTCCAGGTCAAAGGTGCTGGTCTTGAACTCCTGGTCTCAAACGATTCTCCCACCTCGGCCTCCCAAAGCACTGGGATTACAGGTGTGATGACACTCTGGGATTACAGTGACATACCACACTGGCCCTGGCTTTCAGACAACTGAAATGTAAACATTTAGGTATCATTCTCAAATGTAGAGTAGCTGCATGAGGCAACGTGGTATATATACGTAAGGCAACCTTCCAGAGAGCAGAATGAGTTGATCACAATGCAGCTGATAAGCTGATCCTATGCCTGGTGCTTGGTTTTCTGCCCCTTAGGTGGGGCATTCCCATTGAGCAATGCAGTTTGCTGCCTGGCACGTTCTGGGGTTTCAGTTATGGGTAGAAACAATCCCCCCAAAGTCTCTTGGGACCTTGCACTGTGAAGATGAACCAGACATGCAGTACACAAATAGAGAAAGTATCTGCATTTTTAATCGAGTATTACTATTAGCCCTTGGATCAGTATATCGGCGGTACAGTTTTAATTTGGAAGACAGAAGTGCCCATGAGAAAGTCAAGAATTTCAAATACAACTTTTAATACTACGTATTTCAAGAGCTTCCCCGTTCAAGCATTCCTGGAGAAGGAAAGCTCTTTCGGTTTCGAAGTATGAGAAACGGTTAGCGTTCCTTCCTTTGGTCGGCCCACACCCCTCACCACAAAGGCCGACAAAGCAGCTATGAAGGGGACAGTAAGTGCAAGAGAAAAAAGAAAATCTCAATCGTGTGAAACCAGGTTTTATTTTTAACTAAAAATAAATGCTTAGTATCTTTCCAAAATCAAAACTAAAGACGAACACCTAGAAAAAAGGGTGGAAACCTATTTTTCCTTCCCTGGGGAAACCAGTAAGGCAGACGTTCTAACGGAGCGTGTTTATCTCCACAGGACTAGTCTATGCAAACGGAATCTCTCTCCAGCCTTCTCTCTCTGTCAGTTTTATCGATCTGGCAAGAAAAAACAAAAACAAAACCCCCCAAAACAAGCCCTCCCCACAAACACAACACAAAACAAGGGACTTGACAAGTTGGGAGAAAACCTTTTAACACGTTTCTGTAAAATCCCTTCTGAGGAGGTTTAGTACAGGTTCTACTACCCATCAGCAACTTAGCCGGCCAGGTGAGTTGGTGCAGAAGCGCTTCGGGTGAATTCATACCAGAGCCACCGGGTGTGACTCGGCCGCCTCTCCCAATTACCACAGGGAGGTCTTAAAATTGAATTTCAGTTTCAGCAGATACTTCAGATTTACCTGAGCAATATCATAGACAATGTACCTGAGGGGAAGCTTGTCAAGGAGCCAACGGCCACACAGAGAGAGTACATGTGCCTTATCTTCCCCGGGCTGGCAGGATGCCCAGGGCCATCCTGAAAGTTACTTTAAGGCTTCTTCATGGGGCTGGGTTGGTGCCCTTCAGGCAAACTGAGGAGAAGAGATCATACTCTGGAAACTGAGGGAAGGCTCTACCCTGTCAGCCAGGAACGCACAGGGAGACACCACGGAAAGGAAACAGTCACCATGGGACACAGCTGCAGAACAGCATCTAAGCCTTGTCTGTCCCGGGTAATCTGACAGCATGTCACTGACTCTGTAGCTCCAGAACATTCCTTTGTGCTCACACAGCATACTCAAGAAAGGATACTCGTTATATAGTAGACAGGTGTCATTTACACCAGATGAAATCCCAATCCCAAGAGGAACCTCCACACCATCCAGAGTAATACTAGCTGAAGGGTCAGGGGTAGTTTTGCCCAAACCTGCAAAACAGAAGGTGTAAGTGACATGAACTGTGAGAACAGAGGTGGCAAAGGTTCCAGGGAGATGAGCTCTACTTGACATTGAGTCCGTGTGCTTTCCTTTTTTTCCTTTTTGAGATGGAGTCTTGCTCTGTTGCCCAAGCTGGAGTGCAATGGTGCAATCTCGGCTCACAGCAACCTTCGTCTCCAGGGTTCAAGCATTCTTTTGCCTCAGCCTCTTGAGTAGCTGGGATTACAGGCATGTGCCATCACACCCAGCTAATTTTTTGTATTTTAGTAGAGATAGGGTTTCACCATGTTGGCCAGGATGGTCTCGAACTTCTGATCTCAGGTGATCCACCCACCTCAGCCTCCCAAGGTACTGGGATTACAGTTGTGAGACACCGCACCCAGCCTCATGTGCTCATTTTAAAGACATATTCTATCTTTCTTAAGATACAAAACTAAGGCAATAAATCAAGGTTCCCAGGGCATCAACCTTCACTGAGTTTAATGAGAGCAGCGATACCCTATAGGGTCACATTTCTGCTCAACAGAATTCCGAAGCAGCCACTTCAACCAGGCAGTGGAAGATTCTAAATCAGGCGTCCCCAAACTGCGGCCCCCTGAGGCCATTTATCTGGACCCCCGCTGCACTTGAGGAAGGGGCACCTCTTTCATTGGTCAGTGAGAGGAGCACAGTATGTGGCGGCCCTCCAACGGTCTGAGGGACAGTGAACTGGCCCCCTGTGTAAAAAGTTTGGGGACGCCTGTTCTAAATCATATGCTGTAACTTCTAGCAATCCAAGATGCTCCAGGCACTACTATGTCACAAGAGGTCCCTCACTGCAGTAGCTGCAAGTTAGGTTAAAGCCCAAACCTATGTACCTGGTTACTGGTGCCCGCTTCTGTGGCATTTGTGATACTAGCCGCAGCCACACAGAGTGAACTGTGTGTGTGTTTTTAAATGATCATACTTTAAGTTCTGGGGTACATGTGCAGCTTGTGCAGGACTGTTACACAGGTATACACATGCCATGGTGGAGTGAACTGTTTTTAAAAATGAACCGCCTGCTGTAGATCTTGCCTATTTTAAAAGAAATAAGTAAAATGAACCTCCAATCATAGTCAGCTGCAGCATTATTAACCACCACCCAGACAACAACACACACACACACACACACACATGCCCCCAAAAGATAAAATGGCCAGCTGTTTGACAGCCAGCCACAGGCAGCTTTCTCAAGACAGCAAGCCCCTGCTTCTGTGCTGTTCAGGGTGCCCGGGGCTGCAGCAGCAGCTTTGGAAACACTTTACCTTTGACACTGTGCTTGCCCTTGGGTAACTTGCTGATGTGTGAAGCGTGCTTCAGTTCATACCTATTTAAGAGAGGACAGTCTCAGAAGAGGCCTTCACACTGGGCTCTCAAAACCAACAGTTTGATTAGTAGAACAAGGTGAGATACAGAGACGAGTTAAAAACCCACGAAACCCAGACCATCTTAACTGCTCAGGCTCCCTCCCGAGTTTCTGGAACTCCTCCAGAACCCAAAGCTGCAATTGTGGCTCAACAGTTGGCGCCCAGCGATCACTGCTATGGGGCCGTTTTCAAGGAGAGCCCTATTTGGAGTGGTGGTCGGTGGCTCTGGGTTTCTGTTCACACTCCATAGTTCCCAAACCCCTGGCCTTTTACATGACCCTGTGCTTTTGGTTATAGTTCACAGGATGTCCAAATGAAGCTGGACTAATCAGATCTTTCTCTGTGGAGAATCTGGAAGTGGGATTAAGATTCTAGTTCCATTTGGGTTGGTCTAAGAAAACTGAAACATTGGTGAGTGGAGGAGGAAGCCACTGGGGGATCGTCCTTTGTGCAACTCAATCTCTCTGCTTCCCAGTCCACGGAGAGAAGACACTGCCGGCTCCGGAGGCCTGGTTGCATTCTGTTCTTGCATTTTGTGAGGCATCCTTGTATCTCCCTTGCTCCCTTAACTTGAATTGGATTCTGGTATTTACAAGCAAAGAATCCTGATTGGCGGGCCCAGTAACTGTAGCGGGGAATTTTTACTCTCCCAGCCAAGGGGAGTTCTGCCTAGCCCACTCCATCCGTCCCATGAAGTGCCATCAGTTCCAGAGCCAAGTTTACTCACATGTTTCCAAGGGCAACTTCTCCCAACAGGATTAAGCCTATTGGGTCTCCCTGAGACGTATGGCAGTAGTTAGCACTCTTGGAGACCATGTCAGCGAAATAGATCCCTTTACCAAACATGTAGCCTGTCTGGAAAGTTAGAAAAGGGACAGTTGAGAATCTTCTGATGGAAAATTAGGAGCAGCTATTCACTGAGTGCCAGCTAGAGCCAGGAGCCCAGCTAAGTGCTGCAATCTATCACTTCTAATTCTCACAATGCCCATGGTGAGGAAATACTAAAGGTTTAGCCCACAAGCCAGGTTCCTCAGATCCTAGCTCTGCCAGGTGCCAAGGAGCAAGAAGCTACATCACTTCTCTGGACTCTACTTGCCTCTTTTCTCAAATGAGGAACATAATCTCATGGAGCTGCTGTGAGGATGGAATGCGCTCATCAATGTTACTTAAACTAGCACCTGTCAACACCCACGGAAAGCAGGATGGTATTTTTATTCCCTTTTGCAAGTGAAACATGAGGTTCAGAAAAGGTAGGCCATTTGTCCATCATACACTACTGCACAGCACCAGAGAAAACCATTTAATCCTCTCTGCTCCTCACTCTACAACTGTGAAACGAGAGGCTTGGAAGGCCCTGTCCAGTTGGACCTGTCTAGAATCCAGCAGGTGGCATCATAGTCCCTCGTGTCTGGGTAAATCCTTACTCACTCATCGTTATGTTTTGCTGCTGAAGACACTGACACTCAGAGGTGGCCTGGCTGGGAAGTGGTAGAGGTAGGCCTGCTCTCAGCTTGGCCTGTGGCCATGTGTCTGTTCTTTGCTTGTTAACATACCCAATTAGTATTTGCATCACAGCCCTGGCCTGGATGCTCTACTTCCTCTGTTCCAGAAACTGTGTTTGAAACCCCTGACAGGGTTAGGGTCAGGAGAATAAAGGTGAAGATTGAAAGGATGTCTCATAAAATCCCCTACTGGCCACAGCTAAGCCAAGACCTCTTATTCAAAGTTCTTTATGGAGACACCTGCAGAGACAGGCATTGCCCACCCCTCACCAGGCTAGGCACATACCACGGGCGCTTCAGGCGGGGCTATCCGAAGACCCTGGGACAGGATTCCAGCGAAGTTGGTGGTCCTGGACCCATGCCACAGCAACCTTCGGTTATGAAGCTGCTTAAAGGGCTTGTAGCGCTGGCATTCCCCTTCACGTTCTATCTTGAAGATCTGGTCGGAGTATTAAACAGAGGGAGGGACAAAAGCAGCCATTCATTACTCTGGTTGACTGAAAGATAGGACTGGATACAGGAGAAATGACCAGCTGTCCCCAAGGCTAGAAAACGTCAGGTCAGCTGCAGTGTAGAAGATGTTTGCCACAAGGCTGGGATGGAGGGTCAAGGTCCCGCCCAGCAGAGCCCAGCCATTGCTAGTTAGCATTACCGTGCAGCAGACGTGCACTTGAGGAACTTTATCTTGGACCTCTCATAATCGTATGTTCTGAGATCAAGTTTGGGAAAGGAAATGTCCTTTAAAATGGAATAAAAAGCCATCCCCAAACTACTGCATAAGACTACTAATTTTGTAATCCCAGCCCTTTGGGAGGCTGAGGCGGGTGGACCACCTGAGGTCAGGAGTTCGAGAGCAGCCTGGCCAACCCGCCTCTACTAAAAATACAAAAATTAGCCAGGTATGGTGATGGATGCCTGTAATCCCAGCTACTCCGGTGGCCGAGACAGGAGAATCACCTGAACCTGGGAGGCGGAGGTTGCAGTGAGCTGAGACTGTGCCACTGCACTCCAGCCTGGGCAACAGAGTAAGACTCCATGTTAAAAAACAAAACAAATCAAAACAAAAAAACCTACTGATTTTTCTGCTGAACAAATGAGTCACTTCTTTGGGTTATCTAAAGTAAGTAAACTGCTCTTTTCTATCCAGGCCTAGGTTGGATGAGTGGGCAGGGAAAAGCTGGCAGGACACAGAAGGAAGTCAGGGAGAAGGGATTCTTACATCGACGACTTCCAAGTCATATGCATTGTGTGTGGTTGCGTGAGTGTTCTTGACATACTTCCTGATGATCTCGGCTTCTTCAGAATCTCTGTCAACCACCTGGGTAAATGAAATCTTGGAATCAGCACAAACAAGACCCCAGGAGAGCTACTGAGGAGTAACGCTCAGGCTCAGCCGATGCACAGCTCAACACCACACTCCTCAAAGGAAGCCAGGCACGAGAGCCTGTGTCCCAGGCCTATAGGTTGGGTAGATCCTGGGCCAGTGGCTCCAATTCCCTTAGCCTCCAGTTTTAGCATCTACTTGGGCTGCTAGACAATCTCAGGGTTCCTTTTTGTCTTAAAATTCTATGTTTGGGGGGTGGGGCGTGGTGGCTCATACCTGTAATCCCAACACTTTGGGAGGCCAAGGCAGGCTGATCATGAGGTCAGGAGATTAAGACCATCCTGGCCAACATGGTGAAACCCCATCTGTACTAAAAATACAAAAATTAGCTGGGCGTGGTGGCGCGTGCCTGTAATCCCAGCTACTCAAAAGGCTGAAGCAGGAGAAACACCTGAACCTGGGAGGCAGTGGTTGCAGTGAGCCGAGATTGCGCCACTGTACTCCAGCCTGGTGACAGAGCAAGACTCCGTCTCAAATAAAATCTATGTTTTGGGATATTAGAGAAGTTAGAACATTGGACTCTGGGGACCAATATTCAACATCCTTAAAGAAAAGAACTTTCAACCCAGAATTTCACATCCAGCCAAACTAAGCTTCACGAGTGAAGGAAAAATAAAGTTTTTTGTGAACAAGCAAGCACTCAGAGATTTCATCACCACCAGGCCTGCTTTACAAGAGCTTCTGAAAGAATCACTACACATAGAAAGGAACAAACAGTATCAGCCTTTCTAAAAAATACCAAAAAGTAAAGAGTACCAATATAATGAAGAATTTACATCAACTAATGGGCAAAATAGCCAGCTAATATTAAATGGCAGTATTAAACTCACATATATCATTATTAATTCTAAATTTAAATTGACTAAATCCCCCAATCCAAAGACAGACAGACAATTTGGATAAAAAACTAAAACCCATCAGTATGCTGCATCCAGACCCATCTCACATTCAAGGATACACAAAGACTCAAAACAAGGGATGGAGAAAGATTTACCAACCAACCAGAGAGCTAAAATAAATAAATGAAAAGCAGAAGTTACATTTAAGCAACAAAGATCAAAAGAAGCAAAGAAGGACATTCTATAATGATAAAAGGATCAATGCAACAACAAGAAGAGCTAAAGATCCTAAATACATACGCACCCAATACAGGAATACGCAGACATACAAGACTTATAAAGAGACTTAGACTCCCACACAATAATAGTGGGAGACTTCAACATTAATATTAGACAGATCAATGAGACAGAAAATTAACAACGATATCCAGGACTTGAACTCAGATCTGGAACAAGTAAATGTAATTAACATTTATAGAACTCTCCACTTTAAATATACAAAATATACACTCTTATCAGTACTACATCCTATCAACTTAGAACATCCTCTCTCCCTCTTCCTTATTCTTTTTCTTATTAAAAAAAAAAAAAAAAAGAGCATTGGACTCACTGTCAGTGAACAGGGCATCTCCAGAACAAGCAACTGGCTCCTGGAAGAGTCCAGCTCAGCATGAGTTAAAACACAATGGGCCAGAGAAGTCACAGCTATGATGAGCAATTAAAATTATGCCCAGCTCAGAGGACAAGCCTAACAACTGTCAAATCGCTGATGTAACCTATGCTAAGTTAACCTGAGAGAATTATAAAGGAGGCTAGTACGTTCTATTTTCATATTTATATTCAAAGTTCAGAAAACTTAGGAATGCTGGTCTATCTCACTCTTTTAATTAAAAGTCTTCAGGATTGTAAAATTGTAAACAGAGAGAATGAGAATCCCTTCACAAAGAACTACCCCCACCACCTCTCCCGTCAGGAAGGTGCTGCAGTGGGAGGGTTGGGGGGGGGGGGCAAGGACACAAAACAAGTGATATGTGGTGTCTTACCCTGCTTGGACAAACAGATCTATCCTTTGTCCTAGGAAAGGAGCAAAGGCTCTTTCTTTAGCAATGTAAACACCTGGTACCAGACTCAACAGACTCTCTAGCCCACCGGAACCCCCGCAACACTGCAGGGAAGGGGCTGAGGACAGTGGCACAAATGAGCATGGAGACAGGGTCAAGAACGGAGCCATCCTTCTCTGGGTGGTCTGGGCAGGGTGTTCGGAGACTGTGTGCCAACACAGGCCACTTCAGCTCCAGAGAAAAATGAACCCAAGCATTGTGTTTTTATCATGCCTGCCATCAAGCATTTCCACTTCCGAAACGGACACTGGTGGTAATAAGCCTTCTAAAAGTTCATGCTCACGCCTGTAATCCTAGCACTTTGGGAGGCTGAGGTGGGCAGATTATCTGAAGCCAGGAGTTCACGACCAGCCTGGCCAACATGGTGAAACCCCGTCTCTACTGAAAATACAAAAATTAGGCGGGTGTGGTGGCTCACGCTTGTAATCCCCACCTAAGTGGGGGGCTGAGGTAGGAGAATCGCTTGAAACCAAGAGGCGGAGGTTGCAATGAGCTGAGATTGCACCACTGCACTCCAGCCTGGGCAACAGAGTGAGACTCCTTCTAAAAAAAAAAAGAGTTCACGCTACAAGTCTAGAAAAACACAGAGCTCCTCTCTAGATTAAGGAGAAAAAAAAAACACTTTTGGTAAGACCCTCAAATATCAGTTTGTATGCCAAGCTGAGGTACTGGCTTGGAAGGCTGCCTTGTAAGCAAGGTGTATTATCCACATGTGAAATGCTCAAATGTTCTGAAAGGACCACCAGCAACAATGTCCAGGAACTTGTTAGAAAAGTGAATTCTTGGGCACCGGCCATCTGTGTTTGAACAGGCTTTCCAGGAGATCCTAACACACATGGGTTTGGTACCACCGCTCTCAGAAGTTAGGATGCTTCAGGAAGAGGCCTGATCCTGTTACCTTCATGTCAGTTTTGAGCTTTTCATAGTTGACATCGATAGGATCCTTGCTGCTATCATCAGACCCTCCCCTAAGCAGACTGTAGGCCACCTCGATGTCCAGCAGGTTGTCCAGCATTTCCACCTTGGCCTGGAGGAGCAAAAGTAAGTCCCCAACTTAGGTATCATGGTGAGTGAGACAGACTCACCCAGGTGGCAGTGAAAACCTACATGCAGAGAACATCCAAACCTTCCTGCTAGTCAGAGCCAGCCCGCTATCTGCTGCACACAGTGAGCGCTCATAAGGACTTCCTGGAATTTAGCAAGGCCTTGCAGGCTGGGGGAGTTGAGAGGTGGAAGAACTGTCTTTCCTCTCGCACATACTGACATTTGGGACCTATAATGAAGGCACTTCAGACAAATGGTTCCTGAGCCAGGAGCTATCTTAAAAGGTAGGCAGGGAGATGCTGTTAGGAGGGAGAGGGTCTCCCTCTCCTACAGCTCTTTCCCCAGTAGATTTGGTAGAAAGGGGCAGGAAAAATGGCTCTGCCTCCACCAATGTGAACAGAAACCCAACTTCAAAACAAGGGCAAGGAGGTGGCCCTCCCAGCATTGGCGCTGCCCTTAGGGATCATGACGGGAGGGCTGGTCGCAAGGGAGTGGCACCCCAGCCCAATTGACCTGCAGTCCCTTCTGAACCCCTGCGCTACCTGCACACTGTCTGCATTGTTCAGGAGCGGAGGCTTCTTCATCCCAAAGTCGTGGGGGATCAGGGTGTAAAAGCGATTTGAGAGATCCAGGATCTGAGAGTCACTGCTGCCCTGGGACACCGCCTGGAGAGAAGGGAAAAGAAGGAATGCAAGACTGGGAGCAGTACCGAGCCCCCGGCCAGGCTCTCTCTTCTAGCAGCTGGAAGCTGCAGCAGGTCTAGAAGTAGCCTGCTGTGTGCACATGCCAGGACGCATGGGAAACGGCCAGAGACCGCCTTCCTGTTAGAGCTACATCACTGAGCAAGGCAGAACCCCATCCTCTAAAAGTACCACTCAACACATAATGGGCTTCACCCATGAAATTTCATTTGTACAAAGAACTGTGCAGTTACATTTAACCCCCAGCCCCACCCCCACAACTATGCAAAGTGTTAACTATAAAATCTAGGTGGTGGGCTCATGACTATTGCTGTAAAATTCTTTCAACTTTTTGTATGCCTGAAACATTTTCACGATATAATGTTGACAGGAGGTTGCCCATTGCTGTAAAATTCAGTCAGGCCCCCTGCCTCCATGGCCTTCATTGGAATTAGTTTCTACTATACCTGGAGGTTGAAGTCGTCAGGCACAGAAAGGCTAGGCAACCTTTACCGCCAGTGTCACTTGCTGCTCTATAGGCAGAGGGTGCACGATAAATGCACAGAGGTGGAAGAGTGGGACCAGTGGGATTCCAGGAATTTGGCAGACAGCCTAGGTGACCACAGGAAGGTCAAGGGGATATGAAGTGGCACCCAGGAGGCCTGAAGCCCCATGCCTGCTTCTCACTGTGACATGGACTTCACCAAGTCGTACGACTTCCATCTCTGCTGCCCAGGTAGCTCTGGCAATGGGTAAGGATGCTATTCCAGCTCTTCTACCTGAAGACTCTGGAATGGGAAGAAGCTGGGGCTGAGGAAAGCCTAGCAAGTCCTCAGTGAGTGGGCAAAAACAAGGTGAGAGGCTCACTGCTCAGAACCAGCTGGAACTGGAGTTGACAGATCTGGTTCAGGGCCTTTTCTCCAGCACCAGCCAGAGAGCCCACTGCCTGCGTCCACTTTTGCTTCCCGTGTGCTTTTCTTCTATCATAGGCCAAGACTGCCTCACCCACAGATATAAGCGGAATCCTCCAGCCCTACTCCAGGATGTAGCTGGAAGGCTCCGCGACTGGGAGACCTTGAAAGATGCTCAAAGAATGTTGAAATAACATGAATGAAAGAGATTTCCATTTGATGACTTCCTGGTAACTGCAAAATAAACTCTGTCTAACTGTTAAGGACGCACAAAATAAAACCACAGCACAGCTGACCTTTGAACAACCTGAATTTGAAACGTGTGGGTCCATTTACACACAGATGTTTTCAACAAATACAGTTAGCTCTCTATACCTGTGGGTTCTACATCTGAGAATTCAACCAAACTCAGATCAAAAATACAGTATTCTCAGGCTGGGTGTGGTGGCTCATGCCTATAATCTCAGAACTTTGGGAGGCTGAGGTGAGTGGATCACTTGAACTTGGGAGTTCAAGACCAGTCTGGTCAATATAGCAAAACCCCACCTCTACTAAAATACGAAAACTTAGGCAGGCATGGTGGTGCGTGCCTGTAACCCCAGCTACTTGGGAGGCTGAGGCAAGAGAATCACTTGAACCTAGGAGGCAGAGGTTGCAGTATGCCAAGATTGTGCCACTGCACTCCAGCCTGGACAACAGACCAAGATTCTGCCTCAAAAAAGAAAAATCCCATTTAAAAAAAAATCTGAGGATGTTAGACCTGAGGGAGTCCTGGAACCAACCCCTGAGGATACAGAGGGATGACTTTACTTTTAAGAGATAGGGTAACCAACGTCTTCAAGTTAATATGCAGTTTACTACATACTTGATAACTGAAAATGTTGCTGTTCTTTAGTTTTGTGATAAACTTTTTAAGTAGCAAGCACTTGTCATTTATTGAACTGAAAAAACTCTAAACCCTTGTGAAGTGCAGTTCAGGTACTTCCAGTTCCTTAGAGTACATGTTACCCCTGCTGTCCCCAGGTGGTGTTTTTTGCCCCTTAAGTTGGCCAGGGGAGGGTTCAGAGAGGCCCCTGGCAGCCCATGCTTACCTGCTGGACCTCACTGAGGATGGAGTACGCAGCCTGGATCTGCCTTTTGCTTAGCTTCCCCAAGGGCATCTTCTGCAGGTCAATCTGAGGAGACAGGGGATTTTGCTCTGAAAGCTGGATACTGCACAGTGTGATAGCAAGAGAGCTGGATCGAGCACCCCACCCTTGGGCCCTAGGAGCAATCAGGAGCCTGCTGGGATTTCCTGAGGACATCAGTGACCCAACTCCAGAGTTTGTAGCTCCACCCCACCATGAGGGACGGGAGTCTGTCTGAAGGTTCTTGCTCACTTCCTTTATGACTAGGCTTAGCCAACCGTATCTCCTCTGCCCCTATGCTCAGTTTCAAACAGCCCAGCACGTCTGGAAAAAGATACAGCATAATTCCCAACCAGTCCGATGTGCAGATGAGGGCTCATCAGTCATGCTGTCCCGCTCCCTGCCCAGCAGCCTTCCCTGGGGTCCCAGAGTTAAGGCAGTAAGTGCACCCCTCCCTGGGTTCCCAGCTGGAAAAGGACCAAGAGTTTTCAAGTGTTGAACAATATTTTTAAAAGGACACACTCCTGAACTTACGGACTTACATTCAAATCAATGCTGTCCCGTTTCAGATCAGTCACCTCAAGCATATACTTGTTCCTACAAATATTGCTACTGCTCACTTCTTGGGAACTGACTGACATCAAGAGAAGCTGCAAGCTGCAGTGGAAGAAGCATGAAATCTGCAGCCTTGGCTTTCTATCAGTTAAGCGGGGCCACCTTCCTTAAAAGGCGCCTATTCCGTTTTTCAAGCAGCTCTGCCTGTTCAGCTTGGCCCCCGAGTGGAGACTCCTGTGTACCAATGGGCCCCACACTCTACATCCTGAGGCATCATGTCTGGGGCTTTTCCAATAGATCCTTCAGAGCTCCCTGGGGGCTGTGACTGCACCTTTCCATTTTTGCATGTCCAGCACTTCCTGCAATCCTTGAAACAAAGAACTGAACAAGAATCTTAGAAATGGAACTGCTATGGGGATAACATTAAATAAAAGGATGTTTAAGTGCTCATGGCTCATCAGGCACCAACCAGAAGCCAGCAGCAACAGCTTCTAACCACATTCACAAGCCCTGGCACGTACACTTTCCTGTACCCTCAACACTGGAAACTCCACCCTAAGGGAAGATCTGATTTCTGGCAGGAATTAAGTAGCCGGAGCCACATCTGGGGAAGAAGGTGGATGATTTATTTCAAGCCAAGAACAAGGTACAATAAAATAACAGAGTTGACTTTCATATGCACCCTCAATCAACTCTGAAAAAAATTCTTAAGAAGGAATCCCAAAAGAAGTTCTGACAACACATCATAGCCAGAATGAGGGCAAAGGTCTGAAGGGCATGACATTCCCCAAGCTGTAAAATTCTGGAGTTTACGTAAAAAAAGAAAAGACCTAGTTTCTCTAACTTGTATGCCCCTCAAAACACAGGCACAGACTATAAAAGTAAGAGGTGAGCTCCATCCACATAGGCCACCCTCACTCCTGGAAAAGAAACTCAGGCACAGCGCTGGACAGTAGGCTGGGAGCAGTGGGTCCACAGCTACCCAGTTTAGGGAGAAAGAGAGAAGTGGGAGAAACACCTTGTACTGGGGACCCTTGAGCCCCAACTGTGAGAAGGAGGCTCCTAGGGCTGCAGCCTGGACCCCTGGCCCCTGCCGTGTGTCCTGACCACCCAAACCCCATTCCCTTCTGGACTCAGGATGTGCCCTCCTCACAGGAAGAGCCAGGTGCCCCTGGTGCTGCGAATGATCACCCCAGTCCCACGTGGACCCCTGCTTAGGCCAGGAGTGGGCACCCCGCTTTCCACACACTTCCAGCTAGCTGCCTTCTAGCTTGTTTCAGCAAGCAGGGCCCCTGCCCCTTTTCTTCTTGCTAAACTAGTTACTTGTTGAGTGGAAAACATTAAAATTTCATTTCAGGCTGGGTGCTGAGGCTCATGCCTGTAATCCCAGCACTTTAGAAGGCCGAGGCAGGCAGATCACCTGAGGTCAGGAGTTCAAGACCAGCCTGGCTAAAACGGTGAAACCCTGTCTCTACTAAAAATACAAAAAAAATTAGCCGGGCATGGTGGCGCACGCCTGTAATCCCAGCTACTTGGGAGGCTGAGGCAGGAGAATCACTTGAACCCAGGAGGTGGAGGTTACAGTGAGCTGAGATGGTGCCATTGCACTCCAGCCTGCGGGACGAGAGCAAAACTCCATCTCAAAAAAACAAACAACAGCAACATCAAAAACATTTCACAGGAAAGGACTTGGGTCTGAGAATAGTTGAGAACTTCTGTGTTCACAGATAGACCAGGGTGTGGGAGACTGGAAAATGATGTGCAGGACTTCAAAACATAATGAAACGAGCCCCTCACCCTAGCACCCATCAACCTTTTCCTCTACCTCTGTCCCTCATTCTTTTTCCACATTTTTTTTTTTTAAGATGGGGTTTTACCATGATGGCCAGGCTGGTCTTGAACTCCTGACCTCAGGTGATCCACCCACCTCGGCCTCCCAAAGTGCTAGGATTACAGGTGTGAGCCACCGCGCCTGGCCTCTGTCCCTCATTCTTAGTGAGCCCACCCATAAGTTGTTCACACTAGATCTCCCAAACAAAAGTCAGATTACACAGCTTATTTGAACAAGCACAGTGAACAAGCCCTGGCCATTTAAAAACCCGTTGGAGGATGTAACTCAATACTCCAGCCTACAACTGCACAGGCGTGAACAGTCCTGCCAGGCTGAGCCCTTGGCAGGGAGATACTGGGTTGGCCTAATGCCCATGTGCTTAGGCTGCCAGTGGTTTATACTGCCCAGTTTTGACTCCCCCGTCCTCCCTGCTCTAAGGCAGCCCAGGAGGCTCTAGAAGGAAGGACTTGTGACGACAGCAGGACGTGTGTGAAGGGAGCAACCCCACGGAGAAGGGGGGAATGCTTAAGGCTGATCTGAGACTCTCAACCTTCGCTGGTTCCTAGGAGCCCAGGATGAAGGGAATAACGAAGTGCACCGCAGCTGCTTGTTTTTCACAGCAGCCTGAAGCCTCTGGGTTTGCTGCCTGGGGAAGAGAAGAGAGGGTGTTTGCGGACCAGGTGGGACCATCTCTGCTCTGAAGGCCCTGTCAATACTCAAGAGCTCTGATGCTAGGAGCAGCAAGAACAAAGGGCCCTTTCATACTAATCTTTTCCGGCAGGATCAGAGATGAGATGGCGGACAGACAGGACACGCGGAGCCTCTGCCTGCAGTCTGCCATTCTGCCCTGGGTAGAAGCATGACTAATCCAACAACCATCATCCTTACTCCACTGCCAACTTTTCCTTTAAAACTGGTATGAATTTTATGAATCAAGTGTCATAGCAATTTCCTTTTACTCTAAGTGGTCTGTCCTGCACTTCCCATTTGACAACTCCAGTTGGTTGGGCCACGCAAGAAGCATGGCTATACACCCTACCACAGCACGAGGAAGGGGGAAAATACAAAGGGCGGGCCAGGCACGGCGGCTCACACCTGTATTCCTAGCATTTGGGGAGACCGAGGTGGGTGGACTGCTTGAGCTCAGCTTGGGCAACAACATGGTGAGACTCTGTCTCAAAACAAACAAACAAACAAACAAAAAAAACCTACAAAGGGGACTGGGGATCAGGGAACAGCCTCTCCAACACACCGTATGTTTCACAGCAAATCAAATAACCCTCTGCAAAAGGGCAAGCATGCCAGGCCCCAGCACTCATACAATTTAAGATTAAAGGACAGGTATGAGAAGCTGACAGCCAATGTATTCTGCTTTTGAAACAGAAACAAGAACAGGCAGAGAACTCTTCACCAGCTCAACAAATAATCAGCCACAGCAAATGTTCATAGATAAAATGATAAAGTGCAATAACCTCATACTCCACCATGGCTTTCTTCATACTTTCCACATCAAAGATCATCTTGATGAGGTCCTGGACTGGCTTGGGGAGTTTGGACTTGGTGCCAGGATTTACTGTCAGCTTCTTCACTGCCTCTTCATCCTTCAGAAAAAGAAGAATATCAAGATACCCAAATCAACAACTCAAGCAAGGTAGTATCTGTGTCTGTGGGGCTGGGCTTGCAGACAAAGGACACAGGTTAGAGTGCCACCATCAAAAAAAGCTGAGTGCTAATCAAAAAGGTGTGGAAAACTGTGTCCGGATGACTGTGCCGCACACTGTACGTGGGTCAGACTCTTCCTGTGCCACCCCATCTTGGCTGCTCCATATTATTCTAGCTGCCACTGCACCATCTGCATGGGCTGACCACCCTGGGGCTGCTGGTCCCCTGCCTTCGAACCTGCCTAGTGCCCACTCATGCCCAACCTAGAAGTGCTGGCAGCTGTGAAGGCAAGCCTTAGAGCAATGGGACATGACACTGGTGGACAAATTCTTCTTCCTTTCTCTTACACTTCCTCACACAAGGGTCAGTTGCAAGACTAAGTTTATATGGCCTTCTCTAAATTCCCAAAGGACCAAGCAACTAGTCCCAGGTGCTGCCAGCCAGCTTGACTGTGTAAAAGTGCATCATAACTTAACTGTCAGTCTTCTTCCTGCCACACTCCCCTCTCCTCTCTGGGACTGCACTGCCTAATAGACTATTGAGACTCCACCCCCCACTGACTGAAGAACCCAAGTTATGTTACAATCACACTGTACTCAAACTGCTTTAACTCCTTAGACTTGAACTATGTGAGGGCATAGACTATGCTCTGTCGAGCACGGTGTCCCTAGCAACTAAAACGGAGTTTGGTATTTGGAGTGAAAGGAACTAGCGTTGGGCTTTGAATCTGGAATCAGACTGGATACCCGAGCAGCGGAGCTAACTTGTGTTGTTAGTGTTCATGGCTGCTGCTGTCACCTTCAGAGACCTATTCTCAGATTGAACCGAGTTTTAAATGTATGTTGTTATCTTCTGGGTGTAACTTCATTGGAGGACAAAGTATCTATTTGTCCAAAACCCTTATTTAAGTGCATGTAACACATGACCCAGTAACTACTCTATTTGTAGAGTAGATAATTATTACAGAGGCACACAAATATTTTTATGTATGTCAGTGTCATTACAGCAAATTCCCAGAATTAATCTAAGTGACTAACAGAAGGCAGGAAGCTGTTCTAATCAACTCTGAATTCTAGCCCATATACAGGATAGGATTCAATGCGGCTGTGCACTGAATTAAGTAATGCTGGGGATTGGTGGAGCCAGTGGCCACTACAGTAGCCACTGGCCAAACTGAGGTGTGCTATAGGTGCAAAATATACACCAGATTTCAAAGACTTAGTATAGAAACAATCAAAAGAGAAATTTTCTCATTAGTAATTCTGTTGGTATTGATGAGGTATTGAAATGAGAAAAAAGACAGTTGCAACATGGTACTTGTGGTGGTGGAAAAGGTACATATGCAGTGAAAGCAGACTGAAAAATATATCTACTATTACTTTAACTGTGGTTAATTCCGGGCAATCTTAGTTTTTTGTGCCTTAGTATCATTATTTCTCAAACTTTTAAAAACAAATATTTAACTCCATAGAGGGTGCTACCGATCAGACCAAATCTATTCTGAATGAGTCTACTGCCTCAGCCTCATCATTATATAAGCAAGAAGTGAATCCTATTTTTAATATGGAGAGTTCATGAAACCCTCTGTAAACTAAAGAATTCCCCCTCTGAGACATGCTAGGCCTCAAAGATTTAGAATTAAAATACCTACCTATCGATCTCTCTTTTTGTAAAATAAATGTGTTTTCTTTTCCCTGATTAAAAAAGTGATAAATTCTAATTTTTAAAAAGGCAAGCATTTTGCAAAGAAAAAAGACAAAAAAGAGAAGTTAAAAATGTCAACCAACAGACAAAGGAATGCTGTGCACTAACAGATGTAAGGAGACTCCCAAAACTACAGATAGAGATTTCACTAGAAAATAATTTGGGACTAGTAATGTGTGACCTAGCCGAGCAGGTCAAGTTACTGTAATTCTGTCATGACAGACCAGGTCACATGATCAATGGCGACCATGGGTTCCACAAAAAGACTTATCTGGAGTCTGTCAATTATACCCTATTGTTTCAGGAGTTACTGGAAAGACTGTTCCTCTTTGACATCGCAAAGATGCTACCACCAATGTCATTTAAGCTCTATCTCATACTTCAAGGTGTTGACCATATTAAATGCTTTTTTGCCATCTATTGAGATGATCATGTGGATTTTGTCCTTCCTTCTATTCATATATTACATTGATTTAAACTCTTTTAATTTTTGACAGAGTTTTCACTCTTGTTGTCCAGGCTGGAGTGCAATGGCGTGATCTCAGCTCACCACAACCTCCACCTCCTGAGTTCAAGTGACTCTCCTGTCTCAGCCTCCCTAGTAGCTGGGATTACAGGCATGTGCCACCATGCCCAGCTAATTTTGTATTTTTAGTAGAGATGGTTTCGCCATGTTGTCCAGGTTGGTCTCAAACTCCTAACCTAAAGTGATCCACCTGCTGTGGCCTCCCAAAGTACTGGGATTATAGGCGTGAACCACATTAATTTTTAAATGTTGAACCAACCTTACATTCCTGGGATAAATCCCACTTGGGAGTGGTATATAGATCCTTCTATGCTGCTGGATTCGGTGTGTTAGGATTTTGTCAGGGGTTCTGCATCTCTGTCCACAGGAAACTGCTCTGTAGTTCTCCTGTGCTGCTCTGACTCTGGTATCAGGGTGGTACTGGCCCTCATGCAATGAGCTGGGAAGTATTTTCGTCCATTTTTGGGGGAGAATTTGGGAAGGACTGGTATTCTCCTTTCAACATTTGGTAGCATATTCACTATGATGTCATCTGATCCATGATGTAGATTTTCAAGAATAAGTTGTCCCTTCCTTTTCCTAGAAGCAGACCGTGTAAGGCATTACATGGTTACCTGGCCGTAGTCAATCTCGAGGGGGTAGAACTTTTTGGGATACTTAGTGAAATTTTTGGAGTGCCAAGCATTCCCCGTTTTTTCTTCATATAATTTCATGAAGTGCTCGATGGCATCCTCCTTGGAAGGCATCTCTTCCAGTTTGTTGCTACCGATCACTGTGCCCACACGGCCCCAGGACCTGAATATCCAATACCTGTGGTGGGAAGGAGGGTGTCAATCAGATACACGTGTGGGTCAGCTGTCCCATTTCAGGAGGAGTTTCCCTTTCCTGTCATTCCATTCAAGTGGGGAAGAATTTTACACACCCCAAAAGGATGGTGACTAACACAGAACAAAAGGAACAGCTATAACAATAAAGGGTCCTTATTTTACCTCTTATTAAACTTTCAAATCATATTGGTAAATGGACTATAAAAAATGCCAAAGAATGGGTTAAACTTGGTTCTGGGAGCCAAGCCCGAGGAGTGAATCCTGGAGTCTGTAGCCTTTTGCGTAAAAACAATTCCACTCGTCTCCCTCAAGACATACAGAAAGTACTATCTGGAAGTCATGTATTCCAGGAGACAACCCATAAAGCTGTACCCTAAAAATAATAAACTTTCGACTCAGATCAGAGGCCAAGACGCGATGAAATGAGGGAGGCAGTGGCATCAGGCCCGGTGACCCAGAGATGCAGGCTGTCATGTTCAAATTCCATCTCAACTGAGGGCACATATCACACAGCCAGCTGCTGTGCTGCTCAGCTTCGGACGAGCTAATTTTTCATTAACTCAATAATGCAAAAATTAATTTTCATTTTACAATAAATACAGATATATCATAAACCCACATACAAGATTTGTGTACATTTTAAAGACAGAACTAGAGACTTCAAAGAAAATTTGGGACTCCCTGGCCACTTTCTGGGCTACTGGACAGGGGTATAAAAATTCATTCTCTGGGCTTGGTTTTTCCTGTGAAAATTTTTGGGAAGTACTACCTTGATCTATGTTGAAAATTTTTTCTGACCCTAAGAGCCCACACTACCCTTTCACTTAACACCAGCAAATCTACACCACCAGAAAAATGTCCACATCCACAAGCAACAGTAGAATTCAGTAAGAGTTCCTTCCACATGCCTTTCCACTGACATATAAATCCTGTTCTGTGTTGGCTGTACTGAGGGGCAATGAACTCACTAGATAAGGACCACTCTGCCTAGAAACGCAAGGAAAAACGCCAGCACTCCACTCACCACTTCCCAGCTGCTGTAACCCCACAATCTAGAATCCATCCTTGCCTGTTTCACCATGTTAAAAAAAAAAAAAAAAAGGCAAACCAAAACCTCTTTGTTACTAGGGACTTTGAACATTAAAGACTAAGTCCAGTGTTTGCCAAGCTTTATTTGTTTCAAAGTTTTAAAACATATGTAAAATCAGAAAATCTTGATGCAGGTAGCTGAAAGAAAAGCCAGTTGGGGCTGGGTGCAGTGGCTCATGCCTATATTCCCAGCACTTTGGGAGGCTGAGGCAGGAGGATCACTGGAGTCTAGGAGTTTGAGACCAGCCTGGCAACACAACGAGACCCCTGTCTCTACAAAAAATAAGGCATGGTGGTGTGCACCTCCAAGTCCCAGCTACTCCTGATGCTGAGGTGAGAGGACTGCTTGAGCCCAAGAGGTCAAGGCTGCAGTGAGCTGTGACTCTAGCCCGAGTAACAGAGAAACTGTTTCAAAAGACAAAACAAATAGTGAAAAACAACAACAAAAAGAAAACCCAGCTGGGAGAATACATGAAACCGTACCTCGGGACAACTGTACAAGAACAGCAACACTACTGTTAGTGAGTGGCTTCTTTCTCCCCTTGAACCAAAGGCCTTATGATCTGTCTTTATTTTCTGTGATTAGATTTCATTCCCCAGGCACTGAGCCTGGGTTTCACAAGGCTCATGGCACAGCTATCTCTGTACAACTAGACTTCATCCGCAGAACTCACCTGCTTTCCTTGTCATCCTCTAGAAGCTGCAGCTTGTAATAGGAGTTGGTTCCTTTAACGATGTCCACCAGGCCGAGGGTGGCACTGAAGACCTTCCCACTTTTCTCCAGGACATGCGCAGAGTGTTCCAGACCTGTCACAGAGGCAAAGCTTCTACAGTTTTCTCTCCCCTTGAGGGCCCAGTGCTCTTGGGGAGAAGGGGTCTATAGGCCTGAGGTTCACAACTCTTGGATACACTCACACCACCTTTGAGAGGTTCCCCACCAGCGTGTGTTCTCAAGACTAGGGAAGCTGGTGAAGGAGGCCTAAAGGCAAAGGCATGACCACACTGCCCCAGGTGTGCTGCAGGCTTTTGGACGTGTACTTCTAGTCAGCTGGGAGAGTGTAGCCCAGTCGGCTGGCGATTCTCCTTGCTTACCAGAATCAGGATCCACGGCTGCTCCTCCTTTAAGAGTTAATTTCATTCTCTTTTCAGACTTGTTAATACCTTGGAAGGGAACAGAGAAACGTAAACATGAAGTTAAACATTATCTACAAACGGGAAGGTGGAAGGCAAATGAGTTGTTCTCATTGGCATTATCTGTCAACTTGGCATCTGCACACTCCTCCCACCACCTGAAGGCGCCTGCCATTCTGTGTCTGGCTCTGCAGCACTCAACAGGCCATGTCAGGGACACAAAGGGAAAGGCTCCTTGCAGGTCGACCTGGCCACCAATGGCCCTGGAGGGGGCAGCTCGGGGCTCTCACCTTCCTCCTTGACCTGGCCTTTGCTTTTTTTGGAGAGTGGAGCTCCTGACTTCCCTTTTGGGGCCACAACTTCAACAGGCTCTGCCTTGACCTCTGCCCCCCAGGGGGACAAGATGTGCGCTGAGAACAACTCCTGAAGGTTCTTGGTGGAGGTGGAGACGTCCTGGAGGAAGTCCTCAGACACAACTCGGACATTGGCTTCCTTCACTTCCTCCATCTTCTTATTCATCTTTTCCACCTCCTCTGTTCAAATTGCAAGGAAAAAACCGAACTAAACATAAGTTTAAAACAAAACTGAACTCTCAAATTACTAGTTATATTTACTGTTTACTTCCAAACTCTGCTCTCCTTTGCTTCCAAGTCTAATGCTCCCAAGAGTGTTTTTCATTCTAATGATCATCTTGATCAGCAACATTCCCCCTTTTCTAAGATATGATGAGCCAGAGCAGCCTTCTCCAAACCACTGTACAGCACGATGTTAATAGACACTCCACAGAAAAAACACACTGATGTCAAATATATATGGGAAGTCCTGTATTCTACTTCTCTGGTTCCTGAAGATCTGCCACGGTAACCAGCATGATAAACCCACACAGAAACCTGTTTACCTTTGTTTCATCCTTCCTTTTCCAAACACACTTGAGCTGTGAACTCTTATTTTGGCAGTGATCTACACACATCTTGCAGAGCAGGGCAAAGTGATGAGAATACAGGTCGAGAAGTTTCCCTTATCCGAGATGCCTGAGACAGGAAACTTTTCAGACTTTAAAATACTTGTTTTGTATTTACTGGCTGAGCATCCCTAATCTCAAACTGTGAAATCGGAAATGCTCCGATGAGCATTTCCTTTGAGCAACATGTTGGCACTCAAAAAGTTTTTAATTTTGAGGCGATTTGTTTGGATTTTGGAATTAGGGAGACTCACCCTGGAGTAGCTTACAGTCTTTAGTTGAGAACATGCAACATATGTGAATCTATAGTACACAGCAGCAACACCCAGTGCAAATACTGGTTTCCCTTCATAAAGAACCGAGTGATGATAGTAAGATCCAGTTTTTGAGTGCAGTGTTCGACTCTTCCTCACTGAACCGACATCACAATCATAAGATACAGAAGCATTATCCCTGTTGCAAATTAAGATTTAACTCACTTTTGGTGCTGATGCACAGGGAAGCCTTGTTGGCCGTCCCTGTCAACTTCCCCCCGAGCTTCTCGATCATGGCCTTCATTTCATCCTTGTTCCGAGACAGCTTCCCGAGAGTCAAGATCTTCATGTTGGATAATGGCTTACCTGGGGGTGAAAGGACAGGATCATTCAGCAAGGCCAACTCTGATGCTGCTCCCCAGGAAGGGGAGGTGGAGCAGCAGGTGAGCCAAGCGGCGAGCTCCTGAGGAAGCCTATGAAAATACACTTGGAAGAAAACCGGATGGGACAGCAAGCTGCCATCTGAGCACCTACAGATGTCCCTTAACACAGAAAGGACTGGGCAGGGAGCAAGCCACAAAATGCCACTCCATGGCCAGGCCAGCCTTGCTGGTGTGAACCAGGCAGCTGGGGGTTACCCAAGGTCAGCTCCATGGGCAGCCTAAGAAGGCTGCATCTATGGACGAGGGACCAGGAGGCTGGAGTGGGATGGGAAGAGAGTAACAGAAGGAATTGGGGGTTCTTCCACATGAACCCCCAATTCCTTCTGTTATCCTCCCAAATTGCAATTCTTATTAATTAACCCTGTTTTAAAAATGAGACATGTCCATGACAGCCCCTCAAAGCAGTGGCCAGCACAATCACACTGAGCTGAGCTAACCGATTCTAGGCAAAAAGCAGTAGAGTCAGGTGTGCACTGACCCAGGCCAGAAAGGCCTGGACAGGGGTGTGCCTTCTGTTCACAGCAAATAACACAGTGCTGGTGACACATTTTCAGAACTGGAGATGCTACAAGGAAAAGTCCTTCCTGCCTACCCTGTAAAGGCAAACAACTAGGAAACACCGACAGTTTAAACTGGTGTGGTCTCCAGAGAACAAAATTGTTGATTTGTGCTGAACTGCAAGTCAGGGGAAAGCGGAGGAGGAAACCCTCCAAGGAGGGGTCAGAATGCCAGCCCCCACCCAGCCTTTCACGTGGGCACCTGGACCCAAGGCTGCCAGCAGCACAGCAGACTTGGGATGACCACCCACACACTGCAGTGACCACTGGTCCCTCTCAGAATATGAAACGGAGGTCAACATGCGGTTTACGTTCAAGGACGGAACCCTCATCCTCCACCCACCAAACTGTGACCTTCACCATTAGACCATGCCACGTGTCGCTGAGTAAATAGGCAGGAGGTCACTTCTATTGCCAAAAAAACAAATTGCTCTCACTGTCTTGGTTGGCTTGGGGTGTAACTCCCTCTGCATACAACAGAGACTCGAGCATCACACCCGGGTCGGGATGACTGGCAGGCGCACAGGGTGGCCTGAAGAGTGGGGCCTGGCACGCTTCTCTGTAGTGTAGTCAGGAAGGAGACCCTGCGCGCTACTCCAGGTAAGGCTGTCGACCTAGCCTTTCTTAGGAGCTCCCTCCTAGCCCCCCAGAATAAGAGTCGTTTGCTCTTTTACCATGCTTATCTTATTTTCAGAGATGTTTATTTTTAGAGATCCAGTGTCCAGGCTGGAGTGCAATGGTGCAATCATAGCTCACTGCAGCCTTGACCTCCCAGGCTCAAGGAATTCTCTGCCTCAGCCTCCTTGAATATCTAGAGCTAAAGGCACAAGCTGCTACAGCTGGATAATTTTAAAATTTTTTGTAGAGATGGGGCCTCGCTACATTGCCCAGGCTGGTCTCGAACTCCCAGCGTCAGGCAATTCTTTTGCCTTGGCCTCCCAAAATGCTGGGATTACAGGTGTGAGTCACTGCTCCCAGCCGATGTTATGTTCTTAATACCCTCTCGCCTTGCTGTGGTTGGGCGTGTAACAAGTCAAAGGAAGAGGCCTATCCTCTGCAGGGCAAGGCTTCCCAATGGTGGGGTCAGCAAAGAGAGATCCCTGAAGGATACTTTCTTACCAGCTCCATACCACCACCAAGTAGTGGGCAAATGATTCCTGCAAAGCAGCTCTAAGACTGGGGCCCCACGCGCTGTACCTGCTGGAGCAGAGTCCACGGCAGCAGGCTTCGAGGCTGCGGAGGGCAAAGGTGCAGCAGCCACTGGGGCGCTGGTTTCTGGAGGGAATATACGGTTCTGCTTTTTAACCTTCAATTTCTTGAGGTAAGAGATTTCTCGGAATTCCTAAAAAATATTAAGTTTTAGTTAAGAAGCCAGCTCTCCCTTGAAGTAACCACCCTATAGACCAAAAAGGATTTGGCTTGTCCAAATTAAATCATCTCTTTTTTACTTCTTACAATAAAGAGTTTTCTTTTTTCTTTTTAGTTTTTTCTTCTTACAACAAACAATAGAAAAATGCGGGGCTTCTAGGATGAAAGACTGTTATTACTGGGGCTATAGTACTTATTTCTGGTTATTTTTACATTTATAGTAGGGCTGGTATTATGGCTGCTTTAAGAGAAAAATCTTTCCCTTTAAAACAAATCAGTGGACAATTTGGCCGTGGAACCACCCCTGAACTGCTGTGTGAATACAGCCTACCTGGCCTCATTCCTGAGTTGTTCCCTTCAAGAGTTAATAGGGCTCTGTGGGGTCACACACCTACTCTAGAACTCCAAAACCCCCAACACTATGTGCACTGGGAGATTATTACCCAAAAGGAAATCACAGTATTCCCTTCCCTTTTTAGAAGAAGGGAAAAATGAATGCAGAGTCCTACAGTATTCACTACAAATTCTTCCGTCAGCACAGTTCAATCTTCACTCCTTGCTCTAAATGGTCACTCAAATATCAAATACATGACACTCAGGGAAAGATCCAGGTCTTCATCTAAACAGGAAACTGCCCTTCCCAGCTGTGCCCACATTCAGGGTGCCAGCTGGATATGAGAGGTCACAGATTCCTTCCAACACACACTGACCATCCTAATATGTGCTACTAATTACAGTTTGGTTAAAAAGACAGTTTATGCCCTTGAGAAAGTATCTCATTCATGACTGAGAGTCAACTATATAAACGTGAACTTTTTTTTTTAAGCGATGGGGTTTTACCATGTCGGCCAGGCAGCTGGTCTTACACTCCTGATCTCAGGTGATCCACCCACCTCGGCCTCCCAAAGTGCTGGGATTACAAGCATGAGCCACCGGGCGCCCAGTCTATAAAGATGAACTTTAACACAGAAGCTAAGCTATGCCAGAGGTGTGCTAAGGTGACGTAAGACAGGAATGCTAGCATGTACTTGGAGGCAGTGACCTGCTAAGCCTGCTGGGAACTAAAGACACAGAAGACTGCCTAAACACAGCCATCCAAGTAGCACCTGGTGGGATGTGGGGCATCCTGGCTAGCTGTCTTATTGCTAGGTACTCCTAAGAACAACGAGTTCTGCTTTAATGCCTCAACTAAAAAAAAAAAAAAAAAAGAATGAGCAACACTGGTGGTGGGTGAGGAGAGTGGTACGTGAGGAGGAGGAAGAAGGTGGCAAAAGGAGGCTGCAGGGCTCTGAGGACAAGCTAGGGAGCTGGTCTTGATTACGTGGGCCAAGTGCCCGGTGGGGGGGGGGGGGTGCAACAGCCTTGCTGCATGAGTAGCAAGTATTGCCAGCCTGAAAACTTGCCTCATGCATGCACACACCCTTTACAAATGTACAGATGTTCTGTAACTGATATATAAAACACAAGGGCTCGCATATTGCTTATTGCCATCTTAGGATTTCCCCATCAAAGATAGTAAAGGAAATGCAATTATCACGTAAGGGTCTGTAAGATTTGCATATCCAGAAAAACTGGGGAATCAGTATAAGATTTTAAGGGTGTGGGAAGTGACGAGATCAGATTTACTTTAGAGGAATCACTCAAGTAAAGGCATAGAGCACTAGAAGCGATGCAATCATGGCAGTAAACAAGTGAGCCAGGGGTCAGTGGAAATGGAGTTCAGATCTAGGTGTAGAGCAGGTGGTGCCAATTGTTACTCAGCTAACAATTCCTGAGCATGTACTGCGCGCCGCTTTTCCAAGTGTTGCACCCAGGAGCAGGCACAGAGAAGGAATCAGCTTGCTAAGTGGCAGAGCTCTGCACCTACCCTGGCTGCTGGGCCTTCATCCTGCTGAATCTGAGGGGGAACAGGTGAGATCTTCGGAGCAGCCAGACTCACAAAGATACTGCCAGAACCCCACCAGCATGGCTCCAAAGGAGGCTCCCCATGGAGGTATTTTGCACTGAGAATTCCATAAGCAGTTCCATTAAAAAAAGAGAGAATAATGGCCGGGTGCGGTGGCTCAAGCCTGTAATCCCAGCACTTTGGGAGGCCGAGGCGGGTGGATCACGAGGTCAAGAGATTGAGACCATCCTGGTCAACATGGTGAAACCCCATCTCTACTAAAAATACAAAAAAATTAGCTGGGCATGGTGGCGCGTGCCTTTAATCCCAGCTACTCAGGAGGCTGAAGCAGGAGAATTGCCTGAACCCAGGAGGCGGAGGTTGTGGTGAGCCGAGATCGCGCCATTGCACTTCAGCCTGGGTAACAAGAGTGAAACTCCGTCTCAAAAAAAAAAAAAAAAAAAAGAGAGAATGTGCAATCCTGGGAGATATGTCAACTCTGGATCCAATTCTCCTCCTACCATTAAGGCAACGAAATGTCCTTGAAAAAAATTTCTGATCTTCACCATATGCCCCTCAAGCCTATAACAGTGTCTGGCACATAGGAGGCATTTAATAAATCAAAATTATTCATGGTCTTTGCAAGCAAGATTTTACACCAAATTTACAAACCTCTACTCCATACTTAGAGAAGCTTCCGTTCTACATTTGTGCCATTTGCAAGCATATAATTTTATATTCTGGTTAAGAGGATGACCCGGCTATAAAGAAGTCTGAGGAGTATGGCCCTGCAATCTCAGGGACCTGAAGTGTGGACAAACGCAGGAAGTAGGGCAGGTTTTTCTGCCCACAGATCCCAGGATCTTCTGCCCCTTACCTTCGGGGTCACCCATTCCTTCCGGTTGGGTGTCTGTGTCTTGACCATACACTTGGTCCAGGCAGTGACGTCCCCGGTGCAGTAATAAGCGTCGCTCTTGAAGACCAGCTGACCCGAGCATTCCTCGCAGGGAAGGAGGGCACCGAATGCCATGCCATCGGCTACTCGGTCCAAGATCTGCAGCCAGTGGAGACACATGTCAGAAGGCAAATGCGGGACTACAGAAAAGGACACTTACTAATGTAGGATGGAGGAAACTGCACAGAGTTCACTCACTACAAAGAGAGGCTTCTTGCTGTGGCCTTGGTGTGGGGCTCTTAACACCATCCCCCCACCATCCTTGGTTTAAATTGGAGCTTGGATCCTTGTAATGTAAGAGACCTTATTTCCAAGTGATCCTACAGCCACCCCGCGTCCCAACCCTCAGTAATTTAGAAATAAAGGGAGAGCCCAGAGCATCCAGTGGTATTAAACAAGGTCAGTGCCAAGCCAACTCCCAAGAATGACAACAGAGAAGGGCCAGCTGGAGACACTGATGGGACGCTGGCATGCCACCCCTCATGAGGGGGCTCTCCCCTCTCCACAGGCCTAGCACTCTAGAGCAAGCACTAACATGTGGAAGATGTCTAGTGGGGTGTGTGAATGCTGGCCCCATCCACCCCAGAAACATGGTGACCACGATGGTGGTGATGACCGTGCAACACAACCACGAATTTTTATATCCTCGCAATTAATACCAGCAGGCGTTCACACGGAGGGCCTCCCACACTCCATTGGGACAGTCACTCCACAACGACGGGGTCAGCCTCACATGTGTGTCCCACTTAACACAAAGGCAGCTCACCGCCGACTCCCCAGAAGGCACTTGCTGCTTGTTGAAGATGAGCAGCTCTTTCAGGTCATTAGTCGAACACACTTTCTTTAGCTCATCCTTGATGTTCCAGATCAGGTCGTTCTGGGCCTATGGACAAAACCCAGAGGCTGAGAGGCCGGCTCTTCAAAGAAAGAATCCCACTGGAGGAGGAGCCCTGGACATGCTGAGCCTTCAGTTATATAGCTGCACACCAGCGAGTTACCCCTCCAAACCTGGGTGATCAGCACAGGAGCTGACTCCCAGTCATGCTCCTGTGGACACCAAATTAAACCTGGAGTGTGGTCTCTCAGAGAATACTGTGGAAAGTGGGAAGGAAGCCCTAAGAGTGTGGGGAAAATTGCACTAGGCTCCTGAAACCATCCCTCAGAACCCAGTCCTAGGAGACAAAGGTAGGAACCTGGAAGTGCTAGGCTGAGCCCAGGGCCCAAGGCCCAGGTTCATCAGCAACTAGAGGCAGCGTATGACTGTTCTTCACCAATTTTAAGAGTAGAACTGATTCCCAAATACCAATTTCCTTGATGGTCTATTATATTCAGTATCATGTATTTAAGCTCTTCTGAAAATGAAAGTTTTAATCTTTAAGTGCCTACTCTTGGTTAGATGCTTTTATGTGTCATCTCATTATCTTTTTCTTTTTTTCGAGATGGAGTCTCGCTCTGTTGCCCAGGCTGGAGTGTAGTGGTATGATCTCAGCTCACTGCAATCTCTGCCTTCTGGGTTCAAGCAATTCTCTTGCCTCAGCGTCCTGAGGAACTGGATCACAGATATGCCCCACCATGCCTGGCTAACTTTTTTTTTTTTTAATAGAAATGGAGTTTCATCATGTTGGCCAGGCTGGTCTCAAACTCCTGGCCTCAAGTGATCCACCTGCCTCAGCTTCCCAAAGTGCTGGGATTACAGGCATGAGCCATGGCGTCCGGCCTCATCTAATTTATTCTCACAACAATCAAGCTTGCTGAGGAAGGTATCAGCCTCCCCATTTTAAAGGCTAAGGTGAGTCTCCTCTTTCCCCAGGAAAATGGGCAAGTTATTCACCACCTCAGCTCAGATCCCACCGCTGTAAAAGGGAGACAAAAATGCCAGCCTTATCATACCCCACAGGGTTGGTATTAGCACCAAGAGAGGATTTTAACTCCACTGGCGAAGCTGCAGGCACACGTCTGCACCTGTTTCCCAGCTTCATTCTTAAGGGCTCTTTCACGTCCCCTCTCTGATGCACACAGCACAGACTGGGACACCAGGAATAGAGACACGAGAGCATGAGGAAAAGGTAGAGAGCTACAAGGGTAAATGGAAGGAGTACAGTCTCACCTAGGTGACCAAGGACGGGGAGCCGGCAGACACAGATGTGCCAGGGTGGGAATGCTGAGGGGTATTTTAATTTTCTGACTCAACATCTCTGCCATTATTGGGGAAGAGCACTAAATTCACTGAATGGCCAATGTGAAGTGGCACCATGGTTCTCTGCAGCCAGTTTTGGGGCATGACACTTTTTTACTGTAAGACAATTGAACAAAATGTGTGACTCTTCTTTAGTGACTAGAGACATATCAGAAATTGCTTCTAATTTTACTACCACCAGTAAAAGCTGAATACTCATACAAGAGACACAAGCAGATGGCTGGTGGAAATCATGTTCTCAAGAAGAGACCAACTGTGCCCCCCCCACAATTTCCCAAACACCCAGCATTGTCTGGTTAATAATTTTTGCTTTGCAAGGTCGGGCGCGGTGGCTCAAGCCTGTAATCCCAGCACTTTGGGAGGCCGAGGCGGGTGGATCACAAGGTCAAGAGATCGAGACCATCCTGGTCAACATGGTGAAACCCCGTCTCTACTAAAAATACTAAAAATTAGCTGGGCATGGTGGCACGTGCCTGTAATCCCAGCTACTCGGGAGGCTGAGGCAGGAGAATTGCCTGAACCCAGGAGGCAGAGGTTGCAGTGAGCCGAGATCGTGCCATTGCACTCCAGCCTGGGTAACAAGAGTGAAACTCCGTCTCCAAAAAAAAAAAAAAAAAAAAAAAAAAAAAAAAATTTTTGCTTTGCTTCAACACATACATAATCAATAATCAACACAGGGATGAATCTTTCTGGTCACGGACCACTGATTTAATGGATAGTCTTCTCCTGTCATTATCATGCATCTATTCCTTTTTTAAAAATGAGAGATACTAATTTAAAAAACGTGAAGACACTTGATCTCTTCAATCCATTTGTCTATGCTAAGAATCTTTGGCATCCTCTAATTTAGCATTTACTTTCTGATGTTTGCAAGTGACCACGAAGGTGCAGGGTGTACAGTGGTGCATAATTTGGCAGAAGCATGACTCTGTCACCTGGTATGAGGCTGGTGAGTGGGAACAGAGCACTCAGGCCTTGCTCAAGCCTGGCTGCAGGTCAGACATCTACAACCTAATGTGGATTTTCTTCCAAATAAAAATGGTTTCTTTGGGATGAGGGAAAACAACCTGGGGAAAAAGCCATGCTATTTAATGAGAGCTATCAATTTGCTAGGTCTTAATAAGTGGGACGTAACTTGAATTGTCTTCCCAGAATGGGAGAGAATCCAGACAGCAGAATGCCAAAAGGAGAAACAGAGCTGACAACTCACCTTTAGGGCCTTTTCAAGCTTACTATCTTTGTCTTTTTCTTTTTTAGATTTCTTCTTAGCCACTTCATCCACTCCATCCACCTCATCGCCTTTTCTCTTTCTGAAGGACACGGGATATGAGAAAGAGCCAGAGCCATTAAAAATCTGATACCCAATGACTTGTGGTGATGCAGTATCCTAATGTCATTTTATCAACTCCCTGTAGGGCCTGCTCACGCTTGTCACTCCCCAACCCCTGCCCCACTCAGTGGTCTCAGGCAATCACTGTCTACTCAGGCAGTATTTGCAACCAGGACAGCAGGAGACACCATCCATTTCAGAACATACTCTCCCAGCCGAAGAGAGGGGCTAAGGTTGTGCCAGGGACTTAGAACAGCCCATTCTAAGAATCCAGGGCTCTGGCCCTGTCTAAAGTAAAAAAAAAAAAAAATAATAATAACAAAAAACAAACCCATGTATCTCCTGGCCTGGAAGGTTCTAGCAGGGACTAGGCTAGACGTAAGGCCATGGCCAAGGGACAGGGACTGCAGAAAGACAAAGCACAAGTGTGGGGAGGCCAAGCCTTTCCAGCTAAAACACATAGCTGATTGCAAGGCCAAGAAGCTGCTCGCAGAGGTAGGGCCGTACTGCCATGCAAAACCCACAAGAAGTGAGAGTCAAAGCAGTGCTAACCAGCCTACCCCAGCTGGCACAGGGGCAGGACAGCCACAGTGGTCTGGAGTCAGTCTCAGCTATCGCATAGACCTGAGCACAAACCCTGCATTTTCCTTGTCCATAAAATAGGGAAAATAATACCATCTGCCCCACAGAACTCTGGTGATGGGCAAACGAAACAGCCCAAATACAGGGCCCGATACAGTGCCTGGTATACAAAATGTGCTCCACATATTCTGCTGGTTATCATGGCCTGAGTGGGAGCTGATTAACTCTTGACACCTGTATCACGTTCTGCAATGCCCTGTGGGCTTTTTGACCCATGGCCTGATCTTTCAGTTTTCCTGCACATTCTGGAGCTACAAGTGCTGCTGTAATGAACAGGCGTTATGAACTGAGATAACGTGATTGCTGTTTGATGGTTGCCCAGTCGCTGTCCAAAGAGCAGGGTGATACTAGGCCCTGCCACACCACCCCTGGGGTACTTGCTAACAACCAATTCTCCAAACTGAGGCTGAGGGACCAGCAGAGGGTTAACTGGAGAGAGCAAGAGGCGTCCATGGATTCAAGACAGTCACTGATGGGCCCTCCCATTCTAAATTTTATCACCATACCAAATCCTTATCATTTTGAACTCTTAAGCCAGGAAAATTATCTACTGCCTACCCACTAACTAAAAATGGTCAGAATTCTCCCTGCATCGTTCCTAGAGATCAACCCAGGCAAAATGAATACCTGCCCAGGGAAGGAGGGTGCTCTTTTAAGCATCTAAAGGGCTGTCGTGGGAAAGTGTAGTTAGCCTGTCCGTGGAGATCAGATGTTGTAAGGGGAACAGACCACCAGGAAGCAGGTCTCACAGGGCAGAGGGCTCTCGGCCCATGGAAACCCCCTGCTATCCTTCCCTACCCTGTCCTCTGCCCCAACATCTCCGCAGTCACTGCTCCTCAGTTTGCATCTCCCTGGCTTACTGACAGTAGCGAAGGAAAACACAGGAGTGGTGTGGAACCTGTAGAGCCTTCAGACCTCCCTCAAGCCCCTCACTGAACCCCCAGGGCAACCCCGAGGCACTCCACCCACCCTTCACTCTTGACTCCTGGGAGCTGCTTCTTCAGGGCTTCTTTATCCTCTGTAGCAAGGAGGCTGAAGCCCTTGAGCTGACTCGCACTGTACTCAGGCCGGAAACCCAGCTCCTCCCTGTTCTTGACAAAGCAGTCTGGGTGGTACCAGCGGTCAATCATGCCTAGCTGTGGCTTCTCTGGGTCCAGCATCTTCTTGGACAGGCGCATCTGGCCCTGCAGGAAAAACCGTATGTGGTACCAAGGGAGTGATGAGGAATGATGGTGAACATGACAGGGGCAGCCTGTGCTCCAGTCAGTGAGGGGCTGCGGGTCCAAGCCAAGGCGGCCTGCATGACAACTTGAGGACTCAAGGGCTTTCGAGAGGTTTTGGCTCGCTCAGGTCTTCAAGGATTGTGTGTTATCCTCAAGACTCAGAGTTCCTTAAATCTAAATGGCTGGCTGGCTACCTACCTACCTGTCTGGACATGTGAAGAATTGCTAACATTCCCCTTAAGATGTTTCTGCTGACCTGGGGCAGGCATAAAAGCACACGTGCATGGGATTCCAATGCACCTTTTTTTTTTTTTTTTTTTTTTTTTGAGACAGGGTCTCGCTCTGTTGCCCAGGCTAGAGTGCAGTGACTTGAACTCAGCTCACCGTAACCTCCATCTCCCGGACTTAAACGAATCTCCCACCTCAGCCTTGCCTGGCTAATTTTCTGTAGAGACGAGGTTTCACTATGTTGCCCAGGCTGATCCAGAACTCCTGGACTCAAGCAATCCTCCTGCCTCAGTCTACCAAACTGCTGGGATTACAGGCGTGAGCCACCGGTGGCACCCAGCCCCCAATGTAGCATTTTTGTACTAGCAGAGATTTTCTGTCCACCCCCACCCTCCAATGGCCTCAGTCTCTTTAGAGACTATACTTCCTAAGAAGGAGTAATAAACCCACAGTAAGAATCCAGTCCTGCCAGCCTGCCCAGGCCCCCAATCCCCAGGCCCGATATTCCCTGGAGAGTTCCATGCCTACGAGGCTCAACCCAGAGAATGCAGAACAATGGGCTCCTGACAACACATAAAAGCAGCAACCCAGCAGCACATAGCACCTGGCATTCCCCTTGAGGTGAAGAGGATCTTAATGTTTGCCTTAAATTTTTGGTGGCTGAAGGTAGCTGGAAAAGATAAAGCAATTCCATGTTTTTCTTTTCTAAATACCCACTGCTTACCTCAATTTTCTGTACAATACCTCCAGGAGGCAGAAACTTTCAATTAATGCCTTATATGAATCAATTAGTATGTGCATGTCACATTAGAGAAGGGTGAGAAGGCTGGAGGGCACAAGCTTTCCCTTCTACCAGTGTCTCTGTCCATTTTGTCTAACTAGCTGTCAGCCTTCAGGAACTAGAACTGGTGGGAAAGCCTGGTTAACAAATTTCCTTTGATTAAACAGAAGATGGCTGGAGGCTCATATCAGGGCAAACACACGCCCAACACCTAATTCTACCATAAAACACAGAGAGTCTCTTCCCCAGCTACTGCTGGGTGCAAAAGAGATCCCTTTTGTTAATGCTTTCCAAGAGCAGATGCATGCATCCATGAGAAATGGACCATGATAAGTAGGGCCAGACCTGTCTGGAAGTCACTGCCATATCTGGTCAGTACTAACATCTTCACTTTATTTTTAATCACTTGCGTTGAGCTAGCATCCTAAAGCACTCATTTCTTCTTTTCTCTCGAGATAGTCAATGACATCAATGCAAGCAATCCATCAAGTTGAGGGATATGAGGCCCCAAGATCTTACCTTTTCTATCTTCTCCATACACCCCTTACACGTGCTTCTGTTGGACTTGGCGTACTCTGCTGCAAAGTCACCCAGCGTCTTCTCTGCCTTGCTACCAATTCCATCCTGGCCTTTGCCTGAAGAATCAGACAGACAGCAATGCTCATCTCAACAGCCCCACAGTGCAGCTCAGAGGAGCCCCCGTCCTCTTCCACCTCCCCAGGATCCTTCCACTAGAACATTTTGTGCTTGGGAGACCATCATTCGTTCATCTCCCCGTGTTTGTAACAACAGTAGTCAGCTAATAGAGCTTCTTTTCTGGACCCTTCTCAGATGAGCTCCTTAGAGCAGCACATTAGGGGGTAGTCAGCTGTCTGCCTCCTCCCCTACTTCTGGCGTTCCCTCCCGCACTTTGGAAAGCATTTATTAGGGGCTTACCTTAAATGCCTGGAACCATACTAGAGTCTAACTAAGCTTTCTAATTTCCATTATGCTTTTATCTACCAAAGTTAAGTGTTGAATTATAGGAAATATTTTGATAGAGGTCAAATACAAGTATATGTAAGAATTAAATATGTGGTAAAGGTATCATTTCAAGTTAGTGGGGAAAGGCTGAATTATTCAATAGAGTTTTGGGGATCCCTGGCTAGTCATTTGGGACAAAAGCTAGATTCTTATTATAAAAATATGTTCCCAGACTGTATGTTTCTTGCCTAAGATCAGGAATAAGAGACAAAGCTATTTTCCCATCACTTCTATTCCACATTGTACTGGAGGTTCTAGTAAGTGCATTAAGGAAAGAAAAAGAAAAAGAAAGTTGTAAGTTTGGAAAAGAGTAAATAAAGCCATCTTTATTTGTAGATGACTCTATTTAATACTCCTAAGAGCTACCCTGAGAAATTTATTTTAAAAGCTACTAAATTAAGTGAATTTAGCAAATACACAGGGCATGCTGTCCATATACAAGCATACAAAAATGTCTATATACTAGCAATAAACATACTGGAAAAAGCAAGCGTACTGTTATTCAAACAGTGTTAAAATACGTAAAATACTTAGATAAATTTAACAAAAGACATGCAAGATCTCTATGCTAAAAGCTTTAAGACTTTGCTGAAATCAAAGAAGACCTAAATAAATGAAGTAATGCATTATGTTCGTGGATTGTTATATCAATTATCTGCAATTTGATCCAGAGATTCCGTGGGATGACAAGCAAATTCCTAGCAGCTGTATTTGTAATAGCCCCAAACTGGCAACAAGCCCAAGGTCACCAATAGAAAAATGGAAAAACAGATGGATATATCCAAACAAAGGATTCTCCCCAGAACTAAAAAGAACTAACTAATGACACACAAAATGACCTGGATGAGTCTCACAGGCACTGTACCGAGTGAAGGAAGCATGTAACAGGGTATACACAATTTTTTTCCCCCTGAAATTCTATCAGGCAACATTAATCTATGGGGATAGAAACCGGAACAGTGGTTACCTGAGTCAGGGAAAAATGCCTATAACTTGATGGGGTATATGCTAGATGTGTATACACATTTGTCAACACTCACTGAACTGCATACGTAAGATCTGTGCATGTAACTATGTAAATTATTTTTAAAATTCCAAATATAATACCAAAGACATACCACAAATGACGACAGACATGACTACATAAATGTTAGTGAAAGATGAAACTTTAATGTGGCAAAACAAATACAATAGACAAAACTAAAAGAAAATGTCAAACTTGGAAAAATATTTGTAAATATTATGACAAGGAATCAGGAATTTACATTTCCTTAAAAAAATGTAAGCATGTACATTTCCTTAGGAAAAAGAAAAGGCCAGGCATGCTGCCTCATGCCTGGCCTTTGCAAAGATGAGGTGGGAGTATCACTTGAGCCCAGGAGTTCGAGACCAGCCTGGGAAACAGAGAGATCTCCTCCATTTAAGGAAGAAACAAACAAAACAACCCAGCATGGTGGCACATGCCTGTATTCCTAGCTGCTTAGGAAGCTAAGGTGAAAAGATTGCTTGAGCCTAGGAGTTCCAGGCTACAGTGAGCTAGGACTGTGCAACTCTATTCTAGCTCAGGTGACAGAGTGAGACCCTGTCTCCAAAAAAAAGAAGACACTTAGGAATGGTATGGAAGTAGAGAAATGGGTATATTGTGTATTGTTGTACAGTAGCTGCAACTGAAGCAACCTTTCTGGAAGGCAATTTGGCATATACATAGAAAGCCTTAAAATTGGTCATCCCTTTGAACAGTAACTACACATCTTAGAATTAAAGAAATAACTGTACAGGTACCTGAGATGTACGAGAAGTTTGTAGCAGCTCTATGTGTAATATAACTGAAAAGTTAAAATTCTAGTCTCAGAAACAAGACAAGGCTAGGTGCGGTAGCTCACACTTGGAGTCTCAGCTGCTCAGCAGCCTGGAGGATTGCTTAAGCCCAGGAGGCCAAGGCTGCAGGAAGTTGTCATTGTTCCACTGCACTCCAGCCTGAGGGACAGAGCAAGGCCTTGTCTTGAAAAAAAAGAAAAAAAGCAAGACAGACTGGATTTGAATCCTGGCTCAGGAATTTACTACCAGTATAACCTTGAGTCAGTTACCTAAGTTCTCTGTGCTTGAACTTCCTGAACTGTAAAAACTGAGAAAGACCTATTGTAAGGACACGATCAGATTAATATGTCAAGTGCTTGGAATACTGCACAAAATTTAGCAAGACCTCACTAAATACTACTACGTACACTTTAATCTGTAAACTTTTAACATGAAAAGACCAAATACCAAGTTGCTAAAGTACTACAGGTCAACATTACTAGCTGTTAGGGAAATGCAAATCAAAAACCACAGCGAGATTCTACTTCACACACGTTAGGATGGTTACTATCTACTATCCAAAAAAAAAAAAAAAAAGTGTTCATAAGAATGAGGACAAACTGGAAACCCCCTGTCTTGCTGGTGGAAATGGAAGAGCTGCTGTGGAAAACAGTATAGAGGCTCCTGAAAAAACTAAACATAGCGTTACAATGATTCAGTGATTTCACTTCTGTGTATACACAGCAGAGAAGTGAAAGCAAGGTCTCTAACATATAGTTGTATACTGATGTTCATTACAGCATTATTCATAATATTCATTATCAATACCCAGCCAGGCATGGTGGCACACATCTGTGATCCCAGCAACCCATAAGGCAGAGGCCAGTGAGCCTAGATGGCACCACTGCACTCCAGCCTAGGTGACAGAGATTATCTATCTATCTATGTACTTAGGCATATTTAAATTACAACTAGATATAACACATCTATGCCCCTAAACCTGTAACTTCTAGTATCCTGAATACAAAAGAGAAAACAGCCACAGAACAAGAAAAATGTCAGCCAGGTGTGGTTGCTCATGCCTGTAATTCCTGCTCTTTAGGAGGCAGAGGCGAGATCATTTGAAGCCAGGAGTTTGAGACCAGCCTCGGCAACATAGCAAGATCCCGTGGGCAACACGGTAAGACTTTGTCTCTACCCAAAAAAAAAAAAAAAAAAAAGTTAAAAAATTAGTTGGGCATCTGTAGTCCTAGCTTCTCCAGAGGCTAAGGTGAGAGGATTGCTTGAGCTCATGAGTTAGAGACTGCAGTGAGCTATGATCATACCAGTACATTCCAGCCTAGACAAGTGTGAGACTTGTCCTCTGCTAAAACTGACATATAATCACCCTCTGAACCCTTTCCTGGCAAATTTATTTATTTTTAAATTCCCAATTCTGAGTGGTTACTAACCTGATTCCAGCAAGCAGCTGGTCAAACATACCAACAGGTGCAAGAAGGACCATTTGCAAGAAGGACAGACAGTGAAATGGTTTGGATCTGTGTCCCCAATCAAATCTCATATCAAATTATAATTCTGAATGTTGAAAGTGGGGCCCGGTGGGAGGTGACTAGATCATGGGGACAGATTTCTTCCTTAGTATCGTACTATGTCATGATACTAAGTGAGTTCTCACAGGATCTGGTTGTTTAAAAATGTGTAGCACCATTAGCTGGGCATGGTGGCGCACCTGTAATCCCAGCTACTTGGGAGGCTGAGGCAGGAGAATTGCTTGAACCTGGGAGGCAAAGTTGCAGTGAGCTGAGATTGCACCACTGCACTATAGCCTGGGGACGCAGTGAGACTGTCTCAAAAAAAAAAAAAAAAAGGGTAGCACCTCCTCACTCTCTTCCTCCTGCTGCGGCCATGTGAACTGCCGGCTTCCCCCGTCTTCTATCACGACTGTTAAGTTTTGTGAAGCCTCCCCAGAAGCTTAGCAGATGCCAGCATCATGCTTCCAGTACAGCCTGCAGAACCATGAGCCAATTAAACCTCTTTTCTTTATAAACTACCTAGTCTCAGTGCAAGAACAGACTAATACAGGTAGATGGAGAAGACATACTTTAGTGCAGGCACAAAGAGCCTCCCTGTGGAAGATGGCTGAGCTCCCATCAATATCTAGAGTCATGAAAACAGGTTAAACTGGTTCAATTTAGGAAGGCAGAGAAATGAGAATGCAGTCTCAGATTGTCTTCAAAAACTGATTTTTAAAAATTTAAAGATATCCAACAGGTTAGTTTGTGGACACTGACAAACTGATCCTAAAGTTTATATGGAGAGGCAAAAGAGTCAGAACAGCCAACACCGTACTAAGGTTGTGCTGGAGACACAGCAACAAGGTTAGAGGACTGACACTACCCAACCTAAAGACTTACTATGAAGTCACACCAGTTAACACAGTGCGGTACTGGCAAAAAGATAAGTAGGCCAGTGGAATAGAACAGGAAGCCCAGAAACAGAGCCACACAAGCACAGTCCACTGATCTCTGACACAGAAGTAAAAGCAAAAATGGAGAAAAGATAGTCTTTTCAACAAACAGCGCTGGAACAACTGGACATCCACATGCAAAAAAAAAAAAAGAAATCTAGACACAGTCCTTACACCCTTCACATAAAGTAACTCAAAATGGATCACAAACCTAAATGTGAGACACAAAACTGTTAAACTTCTAGAAGAAAATCTAGGTGACCTTGGGTCTGATGATGACTTTTTATAAACACCAAAAGCCCAATCTGCTAAAGAAGTGACTGATAAACTAGACTTCATAAAATTAAAAACTTTTGCTCTGTGGAAGACAAGCCATACACTGAGAAAAAATATTTTCAAAAGACATATGATATAAAGAACTGTCATCCAAAATATACCAAGGCCTCTTAGGACTCAATAATAAGAAAACAATCTGATTTTAAAAAGGGCAAAACCAAGAGTTTGAGACAGTCTGGGCAACAGATGAGACCCTGTCTGTGCAAAAAATTTAAGAAAATTAGCCAGGCATGGTGGTGTGCACCTCAAGTCCCGGCTACTCAGGAAGTTGAGGTAGGAGCAGAGGTCAAGGCTGCGGAGAACTGTGATCACACCACTGCATTCCAGCCTGGGCGATAGAGCAAGACAATCTTAAAACAAACAAAAAAGTGGAGATAGGGGCAGGCAGAAGACATTTCACCAAATATATACAGATGGCAAATAAACAGTATGAGATGTTCAAGATAGTTACAGTATTAGGGAAATGCAAATTAGAACAATACTAAAATACTACACACCTATTAGAATGGCCAAAATCCAAAACACTGACAACACCAAATGCTGGCAAAGATGGATGATGCGACGAACTCTCATCCATTGCTAGTGGTAATGCAAAAATGATTCAGCTTTTTGAAAGACAGCTTGGCAGCTGCTTACAAAATACACTCTCACCACATGATCTAGTAACAGTACGCCTTGATTACTCAAAGGAGGTGAAAACTTATATTCCATAAAAATCTGCACATGGATGTTTATAGCAGCTTTGTTCATAATCACCAAAACTTGGAAGCAACCAAGATGTCCTTCAGCAGGTCAATGAATTAAAAAAATGTGGTAATCGAGACAATGGAGTATTATTCAGTAACAAAAAGAAATGAGCTATCAATACGATAAGACATGGAGGAATCTGTTTTTTTTTAGACGGAGTCTTGCTCTTCACCCAGGCTAGAGTGCAGTGATGCAATCTCAGCTCACTGCAACCTCTGCCTCCCAGGTTCAAGGGATTCTTCTGCCTCAGCCTCCCAAGTAGCTGGGACTACAGGCACGTGCCACTACACTTGGCTAATTTCTGTATTTTTAGTAGAGATGGGGTTTTGCCATATTGGCCAGGCTGGTTTTGAACTCCTAACCTCGTGATCTGCCTGCTTCAGACTTCCAAAGCGCAGGGATTACGGGAGTGAGCACCGTGACTAGCCCGACATGGAGGAATCTTAAGGGTATATTACTAGTGAGAGAAGCCAAACTGAAAAAGCTACCTTCTGTATGATTCCAACTATGTCACATTCTGGAAAAGGAAAAACAATGGAGAAAGCAAGAAAATCAGTGCTCACTAGAGGTTAGAGGGAAGGGAGGAATGAATAGGCAAAGCACAGAGGATTTCCCAGGCAGTGAAAGGACTCTGAAGGCTACCTAAAGGTACATGCCTATCAGTGCACACTTGTTAAAACTGACAGAACGTACAACACCAAGAGTGAGCCCTCATGTAAACTACAGACCTTGGGAAATAATATGTCAATGTAGCACAACAATTATAACCATGGACCACTCTGATGGCGATGCTGATTGTGGACAAGGCTGTGTATGTGTGGGGTAAGGAGGGCTAGCGGATAAATGGAAACTCTGTACTTTGCTCAATTTTGCCGTGAACCTAAAACTGCTACAAGAAAAAAAGTCTATTAAAAAAAGAAGGTTAAGCAGACAATGGAACAGAAATTTTTAAAAGGACCCCAAAATACAATGGAATCAATGGGGGAAATGAATAAGCCAATAAACAAAGCAGGGAAACTAGATTATCATCATCTGGGGGAAAAAAGAAACTGGAGTCATGCCTCATACAACACATCAGCACACACCAGGGTAACTTCCAACAGAGTACACGTTTACATGTTAAAAGAAACAAGGAACTGGTGGGTGCAGTGGCTCACGCCTGTAATTCCAGCACTTTGGGAGGCAGAGGCAGGTGGATCACGAGGTCAAGGAGTTTGAGACCAGCCTGACCAACATGGTGAACTGCCATCTCTACTAAAAATACAAAAATTAGCCAGGCCTGGTGGCAGACACCTGTAATCCCAGCTACTCAGGGGGCTGAGACAGGAGAATTGCTTCAACCTGGGAGGTAGACGTTGTAGTGACCGGAGATGGCATCACTGCACTCCAGCCTGGGCGACAGAGTGGAGACTCCGTCTCCAAAAAAAAGAAACATACTAGACGGAGTTTAGTATAAACTAAAAATACACATACTAGACATAGTTCACTCGCATCCCCAGGCTGGGCTACTTGACAGTGGCCACTGGCGCCATAGCCTTGTTCCCTAGCACTGTTGCTACCTCAGGGTAAGGGCTACATCCTGGCATACCTACCTACCCTGTAGTGACCACCACAGTAGCAAACACAGCACTGTCACCAACAGGCAAACTTTGTCAAAACCAGGGACTATGAGTCCTCCCGCCACTTCCAGATCTAGAGGCAGCTCTGGCTGCAGGCTGTGACTGTACAGAGGCCAGCAACACGATCTGCAAGTGCAGAGTACCATAGCACCTCAGGCGAGCCTGAAGCAATGAGAAACAAAGGAGAATGGATAACGCTGCTCCTTTCCTCCTGCTCCAAGGGGCTCTTCTGAAGCTTGGTGGCAAAGGACTTGGGCGAGGGCATCCTGCATGACCAAGCCATTGGCTGTCTCTCATGAAGCCATGGCCAGCTTGATAACATAGAGCACTGTGCTTGCCCTCCTACCTCCCTTCCTCTCTCTTGCTGCCCTAGGATTACATCTCCTAATAAAGCTTTTAATAGCTTTCCTTTCTGCTCTGCTCTCCACGTCACCTGACATGACCTGCACTAAGACATGGGACAAGATGCAAAAGGAGAAAACTGTGGAGACGTTACAAAGAGCAGTAGTTGTCAGGAATTAGAAGGAGTAGGGATGAACAAGTAGAGCACATGGGATTTTAAGAGCAGTGAAACTGATGCAGGGCAGGCCAGCCCTAAATTGGGGCTTAGCCTCGGAAGGTCCTTGGCTTTGCTCTGGAAAGGGTTTAAGAGTGAGCCGGTGGTAGAAGAAAGCAGCTTTATTGAGGCGGCAGTGTTACAGCTCCATGACTGCTCCTGGAGAGCAGGGCTACCCCACAGGCGAGGGCAGCAGCTCAAAGGCAGTTCTGAGGTCACATTTACACTCACTTTTAATTACATGCAAATTAACAGGTAGATTATGCAGACATGTTAAGAAATGGGGTGGGAACTTCCAGGTATTGCCGTGGCAAAAGTTAACAGATACGGCACACTGGTGGGTGTTTTATGGAAAGCTGCTTCCTCCCCGTCCCTGCTTTAGGTAGTCTTTAGGTTGGTTTGGTGTCTGAGCCCTTCCTCCGACCTCATTCCCCTCTCAGAGATGAGCTATTCTTCCTTTATCTTAAAGGGGCTGCAGAACGGTGCAGGTCTGAAGCTACTCTATGATACTATAAAGGCAGATGCATGTCACTATACATTTGTTCAAACCCATAGAATGTACACGTCAGGAGTTTCTGGACTCTGGGCAATAATGATGTGTCAATGTAGGTGCTTCAATTGCAACTGTGTTAGTTACTCTGGTGGGAGACGTTGACAAGGAAGAAGCTGTGTGGTGGGAGGGGGAGAGGTGTCAGAAACTCTTTGTTCTCTGCTTACTTTTGCCATGAACAAAAATAAAGTCTATTAAACAAAACGAGCCAGGTGCAGTGGCTCATGCCTGTAATCCCAGCACTTTGGGAGGCCAAGGCAGGCAGATCATGTGGTCACGGTGCCAAAACTATCCTGGTCAACATGGTGAAACCCGGTCTTTACTAAAAATACAGAAATTAGCTGAGAGTGATGGCATGCACCCGCAGTCCCAGCTACTCGGGAGACTGAGGCAGGAGAATTGCTTGAAACTGGGAGGCAGAGGTTACAGTGAGCCAAGATGGCACCACTGCACTCCCAACTGGTGACAGAGCGAGACTCTGTCTCAAACAAAACAAAAAAACAAATTTAAAGGCTACCTTCCAAGCATCTAGAAAATAAAATACCAAATATTGTGCAACGGATGATGCAGAGTCCAGGGGCTGTTGCTGAAATAACATGGGTACCATATGGTTGATCTGCACATGTGGGATAGGGAAGGCTGGGAAAGTTGCCTTTGCTCTGTGAGAAGAGGCCCCCCTGGTAGCTTCAGGGTGGGGGCTGAATGCCTGTGTGCCCCTGTTTGTACACACCCGTCATTCCTCCAGCTTCCGCCGTCTTCTTGACTTTCTGCTGGTCATCCCACCGAAGCTCAGAGAACCCATCCACCTCAATGTCAGGGTGCCGGATGGAGTGGCCCACCTTCCAGAAACAAGAGAAGTGGTACCAGTGTGGGACTTTTCCATCAAACATGGGCGACTAGAAGGAAGAGAAACAGAGGGAGGTAAGTGAGCAGTTAACTTATGGCTTAGACCCACTAGACCTTGACCCCAGGCCCAGCGCCAGCCCTGGAACAGCACATGAAACCTTTGTTTTCCTATCTGTGAAAGGAGGACAGTCTCCACTCTCACGTGAAGAGCTGCGGCATCCTTCTCACGATCTTCCCCACAGCTTACAAGACTGTGGCCCACTGTTCCCAGGATACCAAACACAGCCATGAGAAAGATGGCCTTTTACCACTGAGCTCTGCCCCACATCCCTCTACATTCAGTGGTGAGCTGCCTCATGGCCTAGTGAAACACACAAAGACAACCATGCAGAATCACAACCCTGTGGCATCTGCTGGGAACGGCCAGACAACTGCTCCAGGCACGCCTGGACTCAAAGGGCCTGTGTGCCCTAGAAAGGGCTCTTTAAGTGCTTCTGCAGTTAAGAATAACGAGGAATAAGACCCAGATAAGGAGCAAAGCAGAGAAAGTGTGTCAGAAAAAAGTGTCAAGCTCGCAGCACCACACAGATGGGAGTGGAATGAATGAAGGTCTGTGAAGGGACCCTGACTTGGATGGTTCGGGGCAGTATGCCTGGAACTGGAGTCAGATGCTCACTGGCCTTCGGGGGTGCAGTTTCCCAGGTGCAGGACCGGGGAAGTCCGGCCACGGAGGAAGCGGTTCCCCTCTCCAGGTGGTTTGCTTCCCACTAGGCCTTTCATTGTGACAGGGTCAGGTTCTGCTCCCAGGCCTCAAGCACTGTCTGACCTTTTTTTTTTTTTTTTTTTGAGACAGAGTCTCACTCTGTTGCCTAGCCCTGGCTTTACTGAGTGGGCGGGGACAGCAACTGGGAAGAAGAGGAAGACACGGCATATAGTGGGTCCCTATGCCTTTCCTAAACCATCCAGTGTAATATCACAACCTGCCTCTGGGTGGGAATCAGCACTTCCATTCACAGAAGAGACAGTGGGGCTGGAAATCCTTGCCTGGGGGGTTGGGAGTCATAGAGGCAGCAAATGAATAATCTTGACACCATGGTTCCTCCCACCACACTCCACTGCCCAGCAGGAAGAGCTACTTAAAAATATACCAACTGAGATCTAACTAAAGTAAAGGAAGTCCCAAACATCTGCTTTTACAGAACATGAAACTAAATGTCACACAGATGCAGTAAGAATATTAAAACAGCATTAAAAGTAAATATTGCACTGAATTTTTAGGGCGGAGTTGTGGGGACAGGGAAAATACTCTGGAAAAGCAACAATAAGGTGTTCCACTAGCTCTCTCCACTGTGAATAACCTCTTTCTGGACGTGATGGATTAAAATGCAAACCTAAGGCTATGGCAGCTCAACATCAGCTTTCCCCTGGGTCTGGAATGCTACAGGCCCTGTTCAGAGCCCTGGGGGCAGTGGCTCATGCCTGTAATCCCAGCATTTTGGGAGGCCCAGGTGGGTGGATCACCTGAGGTCAGGGGTTTGAGACCAGCCTAATCAACAAGGTGGAACCTGGTCTCTACTAAAATATAAAAATTAGCCAGGCATGGTGGCAGGCGCCTGCAGTCCCAGCTACTCAGGAGGCTGAGGCAGGAGAATTGCTTGAACCTGGGAAGGCGCAGGTTGCAATGAGCGGAGATTGCGCCACTGCACTCCAGCCTGGGCAATGGAACTATGCACTTGGAGATTATTTGATCAATGCCTGTGTCCTGCACCCAGTTAGAAGCTCGTGAAGGAGCAAGATGCCTATATTGCTATTCTCTAGCAACACCTGTCACAGGGGCACACAGTGTTTGCTGAGGTCTCCAAGTCAGACAGAAGAAAAAAAGAAGGAAGGACGCTGTAGAAGAGACAACAAATGGCATTTCTGAGAGCAGTCATGTTCCAGTTCTCAAACATTCCACCAGCTCTCCCCCAGGCTGCTGATACAGATTCTTAAGCATCTGGCTATCATGGAACATTTGCAGTGGCCTCAACCTGGCTCTGCCTGCTTGTCTACCCCTCCTGTGCAATGCTCAGGTTACCTTGTATAAAAGGGCACTTCTTCCTGGCTCTGCCAGGGGCCCCAGACCTGCTGCCCTTTGCTCTGGGTGCTGTCTCCCCCAATCACCGGCACGGTGCTGCCCAATGGTGCAATCACAGCATAAGCTTACAGGACAAGGGCCCAGTGAAAGAATCCTTGACCAAAGATATGCTTTACCCCAAAACTTAGGACTGAGAATGATGTGGCAGAAAGGCACCAGACCAAGGTCACGAGACTATCGACTCCATTTGTTAGCTGCACAGCTCACAAAAGGCACAGAATCTTTGGTTGTGTACCCGAGCAAAAACTGAGCACCTGACACATACCGGGGTCCTCACCCAAACAGCAGCTGGGGAACTAAGTTCGATACTGGCCCACCAGAGCCAGAGGGAACTGACCTCACCCGTATGCCTCCGGGTGCTCAAACCCTCCCAGGACAAAGCAACTCACAGGTCCACCCACCATCCTCCTGCCATCAAAATGCTGGAGGGCCCAGCTCATCCCTCCCAGGATGCCCCAGGGCTAAAGTACCAGGTATCTGATACTCAAAGAACAATACTCCCATACAAATGTAAAAGAAGATATTTAAATTCAAGCACGATGAAAAAAGGCTTCTTTCTTTCTGGCCTTCACCAGCTCAGCCTACCAAACCAACTTCAAATTCTGAATTAAAACTCCGAATCCACCCTCAATCACAATTACAGAAAAACCAGTTACTTTTAATAAAGAGTTTCTTTCACTACCAAGTATACCAAAGGAAAGCCCAGAATGCTGTTATTGCTATTTTTTGTCTTTTTTCAGACAGGGTCTGGGTCTGGCTCTGTCGCCCAGGCTGGAGTGCAGTGGCACTATCCTGGCTCACAGCAATGAACCTCCACCTCCCAGGCTCAAGCAATCTTCCAGCTTCAGCCTCCCAAGTAGCTGGGGCTACAGGCATGCACCACCACGCCCTGCTAATCATCGCATTTTTTTTTTGTAGAGACAAGGTTTCACCATGTTGGCCAGGCTGGTCTGGGAACTCCTGAGCTAAAGTGATCTGCCCGCCCCAAAAGTGCTGGGATTACAATGTTTGTTTACCAGTCACTTCCCCTTTAACCAAACTGGAAATCCAAGGGTCTTTAGAACATAACAGAGTGCTTAGAACTTAACAAATGCCTACCAAACAAGTAATGTGTGCCATGTACGGACTTAGGTATGCCCTGAGGACACCAAGATGACAGACACATTGTGAAATAAGATATCGGAAGTACACCTGGCGCTTAGGTACCCACTCGGTAAACCTCACCCACCCTCCCCTGTACTCTCTAAGTACTGAAAATCCACTGAGGCCTTTCCGGTCATTCCTAAAACACATTACAGCTCTTGGCAGGGAGGAAAATCAAGCTACCTTGACCAGGACACTAAGCTTGGGTAATACGTTGGAAATGAGGAGGAACAGGGAAGGGGAGAACCAGAATTACTAACACAAAGGCAGACATCAGCAAACTGAAGTTGCAGGCAGGAGCCCCTGGGAACTGGCAGGGGCCTTCAAGCCCAGCACCTCACAGAAGCCTCGGGAAACCTCTTCAATCGATCAAAAAGCCAACATGTAAAACTCAAACCAGACAGCTGCAAATGCACCAAGAGAACGTGACTGTGAACCTGGAAAGTCTGGGAAAAATGTTACTTTAAAGGACAAATTAGGTTCAAAGTGAATGCACTGTACAGAAATGACAACTCTGCATAGTTTCGCCTAATTAAAATACAAAATGAGGGTGAGCGTTGAAATAACGTGTAGAAATAACGGCCAAAAATAGGTTAAAAAAAAAAATCGCGCCGTGGCTCATGCCTGTACTTGAGCACTTTGGGAGGCAGAGGAGGGTGGATCACCTGAGCTCAGGGGATCGAGACCAGCCTGACCAACACGGTGAAACCCCGTCTCAAAAAAAACAAAAACAAAAACAAAAATCCCCGCATGCCCGTCCCCACCATCCATGTAGGATAAAAATCTTAGAGAATAAAATAGGTCAAAATCAGATTAGCCTAAGAAGACCATGCACAATTTCCCACCCCCCACGCATGAGGCAAAAGGCAATAATAAAACAACTCCACCACCCAGCTAGGAGGAGAGAAGCGGCTCCTCGGTTTCACAAAGCGAAAGGTAGCACCAGCTGCAGCCTGTATTTTCCCGGGCTTTTCCTGCAACATCAGCAAAACCTTCCGGAAGGCTCTGCCGGGCCGCTCGGGGGAGAAGGGGCGGCCGCGGCCCACAGGCCCCAAGCGCCTCTCCGAGGGCCCAGGCCCGCTCGCTCCCCTGGCCCGCCCTCCCCCAACCTTCCCCGACACAGTTAACACGGAGCGCCGCGTGTCCGCCCCGCCACCGCACAGCGGCCCGCACCTGCACCATGATGGCCATCCGGAGCGAGTCCTTGGGGATGCTCTCGCTGCATTTCTTGCAAGACGCGCGCCCGCTCTTGGCGTACTCGACTCGGTAGAGTTTATCCGAGGACTCCGCCATTCTACTCCAGCTGCCGCCGAAGCTCGGCAGCCCAACGCCAAGACCTGCAGACACGCCGCCGCCTCGCCGCCCTGCACGCGCTCACCCGGCCGCAGGCGCCTGAGCGCCCAGAACCGCGTCTAGCACGCCTTGCCGACCCTCGCCGCTGCCAGATAGATTGCTGATGCCTGGCCGCGGGAACGCCCCCAAAGCCTACGTCCACGGGGCGGGGCTGGCGGCGCGCGCGCGCCCTGCGGGCCGAGGGGCGGAGTTTTCCGGGCGCCTGCGGGTGGAGGTCTGCGGGTCGCTGCCTGGGGCGCTGAGGCGGGGCTTGGGCTGCGCTGGTAACTCTTTGGTGGACCGGGCGCCGCCCCTTTAATCGTTTAGCCCAGGAAATCTTACTTGTTTTCACAACTAACTTTACCCCCAGTCTCCCCGCTCCCCCCCATCCCCCGCCTTTTTATTTTGAGACTGGGTCTCGCTCTGAGTCTCACTGCACTGGAGCGCAGTCGCGTGATCATGGCTCCTGCACTCTGGAACTCTCGGGCCCAGTGAACCTCCCAACTCCAGCCTCCCGCGTAGCTGGGACTACAGGGGCACACCACCACAATTAACTAATTAAATTTTCTGTTTGTTTTAGAGACAGGGTCTCGCCAGCTTGGCCGGGCTGGTCTCAAACTCCTGGCTCCGAAGTGATCTTCGTGCCTCAGCCTGCCAAAGTGTTGGGGTCACGGTCGTGAGCCACTAGGTCGGCCCCAAACTCGCTTTATAAGTGTGTCCACCCTCCCCTGAGGGCGGCTGGGTCCCGGAGGCGCAGGGCCCCTTCGGGAATATGGTTGAACAGCCCAACCATATTCCCGAAGTTCGAGGCCAGCCCGCCTGGCTTGGGCGAGCGTTCTAATCTGCCGTCCATAGACCGTTGGGACAAAATACCAACTAAAACCTAGCATTTTCTTCATTTTGAATTTGACTACAAATCCCAGGAGTATTAGCAGTACCTGTGACTTTGTGGGCAATAGTCATCACAGATGTGTTTATGTTACTTTACAGTTGTTGGTGGTAACTCAGAATATTCTTAAGCTCCTCACTACTTGAAATCGTAGTAATGACTAGACCTGTTGCTACTAGATCTTGTCTCTCTCTCTCTCTCTCTCTCTCTCTCTGTGTGTGTGTGTGTGTGTGTGTGTGTGTGTGTGTGTGTGTGTAAAGAAAGAGATGGGCAATCTCTCCATGTTCCCAGCCTGGTCTGGAACCCCTGACCTCAAGCAATCCTCCCACCTCAGCCTCCCAAAGTGCTGGGATTAGATTACAGGAATGTACAAAGAACCAGCTAAGGCAGTAGAGACTCCCACCCAGGCGGGCTGAAGGTATTGATAGAGGCAGACACCCACATAGGCAACGGAGTGTATCTGTCCTAGGGACCAACAGCCTGAGAGCCTGTGGGGCTGACAGCTCTCCAGGATTGAAGGCCCCACAGAGATTCATCCACACAGTTATTTGCTCTTTGACAGGTGATTCTTATTAATACACAAATGTTCTACATTTACGAATAACTCAGGAATATACCAGGTAGGTAGGTGTTACCTGGCTACCACTAATGACAAACCAAAAGCAACTTCCACCAGGGAGCCGTGGGGGCAGGGTAAACTTAATGTTTCTCCACAGGCATGAGCCACTGCAGCTGGCCTAGATCTTGCTGTTTAATATAGAATTATACTTTAAAATATAGTTTATTACAATTGGTTTCTTTTCTAATCCTATGCATTTTTTTTTTCATCTCAAAGATTGTAACATGAGTGTGCTGTGTTTGAAAATATTCAGCTCTGCTGTAGGGGACAGGAAAAATAAGCAGATGAATAAAACTCATAAAAAGTGTTAACCGCAGAGAAGTCAGTAGCTTAAGAGATAAGGATGTTGGGTAAGCAAGAATGTTGTGAGACATAGGCCGAATCCTAAAAGTTAGTAACCAGTTAGATGCGTTGAAGGTAGGCTGGGAGCGGTGGCTCGTGCCTGTAATCCTAGCACTTTGGGAGGCTGAGGCAGGCGTATCCCTTGAGCCCAGGAGTTCAAGACCAGCCTGAGCAACATGGCAAAACCTCATCTCTACAAAAGGTAGCTGGGCATGTGGCAGGTGCCCATAGTACCAGCTACTCAGGAGGCTGAGGTGGGAGGATCACCTGAGCCCTGAAGGTTGAGGCTGTGTGAGCCGTGATAGTGTCACTGCACTCCAGCCTGGGTGACAGTGTGATCCTGTCTCAAAAAATAATTTTTTTTTTGAAGGTAAACAGAATAAGTGGAAAATGGGATGGAACGAAGAAGAGTTTTCCTTAGAGGATGATTAAGTCAAAAGGTGTGATTGTGCCATCCTCTGGGTTGACAGCTATATCATCCTCAAATGGCCACTCACTGGTGATAAGTTTATGGTCTCATCCCGGCAGCCATATGCTCTGCCCCCAAAAACGCAGATAAAATTCAGGTCTGTTCAGCAGGCTGATTGGTGAGCTGCAGCTGTGACTGAGTGTGCTTGCCCCTGTGTCTCTCTGTAGAGCAGTGTGAGTTACTCCAGATACCCTCTGTTGAGCCGCCGTGAGCATCCTCAACTCTGGTTCTCAAAACCCCACTATCAGTGGGACAGGCTGATGCAGCAGAGAGAGGGAAACATCAATATTGGCCAGGTGATATGGCTTATGCCTGTAATCCCAGCACTTTGGGAGACTGAGGAGGGTGGATCACCTGAGGTCAGGAGTTCAAGACCAGCCTGGCCAACACAGTGAAAACCCATCTCTACTAAAAATACAAAAATTAGCTGGGCATGGTGGTGGGTACCTGTAATCTCAGCTACTGGGGAGGCTAAGGCACAAGAATTGCTTGAACCCGGGAGGCAGAGGTTGCAGTGAGCCAAGATTGCACCATTGCACTCCAGCCTGGGCAACGGAGCAAGACTTTGTCTCAAAAGAAAAAGAAAAGAAAAGATGCAACTATTGCCTAACTCTGGGTTCTGGTGGTGTGGTCCATCCACCTTGCCTGTACCCTGTGCTGTGTATGTTATCCAGCCCATTGAGTCCCTGCTGTAAGTGGTTTTAAACGGATTCAATACACCCTACAATTCGGGCATCATAATTTGGTCTGTGGGGCTTTCTGTTTTGTAACTTCCGGGGTAGTTTGCCTGATAATGTACTTAGAAGCTACTATTGCATTAAGGTAGCTTCCTCCACAATATTTATTCTAGAAAGGAGTCCACAGGCTTCAGGACCACCAAAGGGGTCCTAAGCACACACACAAAAGGTTAAGAATTCCTGTCCTAGGGCCGGGCGCGGTGGCTCAAGCCTGTAATCCCAGCACTTTGGGAGGCCGAGGCGGGTGGATCACAAGGTCAAGAGATCGAGACCATCCTGGTCAACATGATGAAACGCCGTCTCTACTAAAAATACAAAACATTAGCTGGGCATGGTGGCGCGTGCCTATAATCTCAGCTACTCAGGAGGCTGAGGCAGGAGAATTGCCTGAACCCAGGAGGCGGAGGTTGCGGTGAGCTGAGATCGCGCCATTGCACTCCAGCCTGGGTAACAAGAGCAAAACACCATCGCAAAAAAAAAAAAAAAAAAAAAAAATTTAAAAAAAATTTAAAGAATTCCTGTCCTAGAACCTAAGAAAAGCCAGCTATCGTCTACTGTCTTCTCAATATTTCGGTTTGAATGGCTTATGTGCACCTCCATTTATATTCAAAACTGCCCTAGAGCTTCCCATCTCAGGAAATGGCCCACCGATCTCCGTGTTACTTAGGCCAAGTGCTTTGTAGTCAACTTGGCTCTTTTCTCTTTGGCCCCACGTTTAACCCATCTCTGAATTCTAACCTCTTGACTTTTGATCCTTTCTCATGGCCCAGCCGCCATCCTTTTTGGTGGCTCTGAGACAGTCTCGAACCTGTTCTCTTCCATGCCTGCCCTCCTGCAGTCTTTTATTCCCCATGAAAGCATGTGAGGTCCCTTTAGAACTCAACTAGTGTCAATTCCACGTTCAAAACCCTCCACAGATTTCTTATCACACTTAGACAGAAATGCAAGTTTGTCCCCAAGGCTGGACTTGGTCCCTGGCTACTTCTCAGATATTGTTGCTGCCTGCTCCCCAGGGATCCCACTGCCCCAGCCACACAGAAGGTCTCATTATGTTTCTCAGGCTGGTCTTAAACACAAGCAATCCTCCTGCCAAAATGCTGGGATTATAGGTGTGAGCCACTGCTTCCTGCCCTACATTAAGTTCTTTTTTGCACTTATTATCCTTCACAGCATATTTAATGCGTATTTATATATATATGTTTACTATCTGTCTTCCTCACCAGAATGTAAGCTCCATGAGGGCAGGAGCTTGTGTCTGTTTTGCTGCAATATCCTCAGTGCCTGGAATGGTGCCAAATACTCAACAATATTTGTTGAATGAATGACTGAATCCTACAGTTGGCCCTCCATTTGCACAGCCCAACTGTTTAATTAATAATGTTACTTCACACTTGTGTATAACTAACTTATAATGTGCACCAACAAGAACCTTAAATTTGAAATTCCCATGCTGATTTATAACCTCTATAGAATACCAGGCAAGGCTGGTGGCTATTGAAAATACCACCAGGACAGGGTTGTCTGAAGAATTACTTGATAATTCTTGTTAATAATACAAAAATGAAAAAAGAATGCCATCATTTAGGTTTTTTTTTTTTTTTTTTTTTTTTTTTTTTTTTTTTGAGACGGGGTTTTGCTCTTGTTATCCAGGCTGGAGTGCAATGGCGCGATCTCGGCTCACCGCAACCTCCGCCTCCTGGGTTCAGGCAATTCTCCTGCCTCAGCCTCCCAAGTAGCTGGGATTACAGGCACACGCCACCATGCCCAGCTAATTTTTTGTGTTTTAGTAGAGACGGGGTTTCACCATGTTGACCAGGATGGTCTCGATCTCTTGACCTTGTGATCCACCCGCCTCGGCCTCCCAAAGTGCTGGGATTACAGGCGTGAGCCACCGCGCCCGGCCCCATTCAGTTTACAAATAAATCTTATGGGCTTTACATACCAATTTTTTTCTTTAAAACGAGTGAGCTGTGTTGAGGCAGGTTAAATACTTTATAGACAAGAGGGAAAAAAAAGCTGCATAGAACCTCCGGATTTGTCATCATTATCAACTTTATTTTTTAACTTTACCTTTCTTGTCTTTCTTCTCTTCGTATTTTACCCTGCTTTT